ATGTGATTCACCATGCACTATATGAGTCCATGTGCATCTACTCTGCCCCCCATCCTACCAACTCTTTTACCAAGCTGTTTCTGCTTCCAACCCCTTTCATTAACTATGGCTAATAGCATAGCTGTAGCCAGGTTTCACAGGTCTCAGTACCTGGTCCCTATTCTCAAGGTGAGGGAGGAATGTCTGTGCAAAAGTGCTGTCCTAAAAGGTTTCTTTTTGGAGGGAGAATTGTATTTTTACACTGACTTGGAACAATTGCTGTCGACTTCCAAGCATGCCCTGGCTTATTTCTTCCCTCTGCATCTAAAAGTTTCTTGAATTGTCTCTGACATAAAGGCTTAATTTGAGGAACAACATTTGCTGCCCCAGAGGTTTTCAAATATAGCATTGTGTTTTGTGGCATTTCCTATTGAGACTGAGCCCCCGATGGCACAGCAGATTAAACAGCTGGACTTGCTGACTGAAAGGTTGGCAGTTTGAATCTGAGGAGAGAGGCGAGCTCCTGCTGTTAGGCCCAGCTTCTGCCAACCTAGCAGTTCGAAAACATGCAAATATGAGTAGATCAATAGGTACTGCTTTGGTGGGAAGGTAACGACGCTCCATTCAGTCATGCCGGCTACATAACCTTGGAGGCGTCTATGGACAACGCTGACTCTTTGGTTTAGAATTGAAGATGAGCACCACCCCCCAGAGTTGGATACAACTAGACTTAATGTCAAGGGGAAACCTTTACCTTTTACCTATTGCAACATTGTTTTTTCCTGCCCTATTTTCTTGTTCTACAAGCACACATTCTTCTCCTTCCTCTTTGTTTTTCCACATTCTTTGTTCTCACCTCAGTTCTTGATGCTCACCTCAGTTCTCCCCCATTCTCCTTTTTTTGGTTCTATTTTCCTCCACTTCCCCTTTATTTCCCTTCCCTTATTTTTCTCTCCCCTTCCTAGTTGCACTTGTGTTCTCCATTCCTCTTCCTCTTCTTTATGCACCTTTTCTCCCTTACTGAATCCTTCTGATCAGGGTTTCCACCTGAGAATTTTTTTTGGTGTCCCTAGGTATATGAAATAAGTATAAAAATTGAACATTTGCTGATAATAAATCAGCATTTGCAAGGCTTGCTAAAAGGCTGATTTGTCTTTTTATGAAGTACAGATGAAGTATTTTCTGCAGAGTCCACTGTAAACATTGCATCTTGTTGCTAACAGATTTGTGAAAATATCTAGTTGGCATTCAGAAATCTTTTAGTGTTGCCCATTTTTGCGACCTCCAACATTCAGCTAAGGGGCTATATTTGGCATCAGGATCCACAGTTTAAGAAGCAGTACTCCAGGTCACTGTTTTCTTTTCTGTCCTCCTTCCCCTCCCTCCCTCCCTCCCTCCCTCTCTCTCATTGTCTTTCTCCTTCTTTTAGCTCCGCTTACCATCTTCCTTCATTTTCCCTTCTGTCTCTCTAATTATATCTTCTCTTCTCCAGAGCATTAACATCACGACTGTAATATGTTGGATTCTCAACCTTTTAAAGTTGTAGATCCAATCGAATTCTGTAGTTTCCTTTTTAAAAAGTGTTTCATACATAGGGTTGCCCTGTTTATCTCTATTGTCCGGTCACTCTGTCTCCATCATTAATATAATAATATTTTCCACTTTCCCAAAGTTCGTCATGATTATTAGTAACATCACCACAATGATTATGGTTTTGTGAGGCGTGTGGAGGTGATTACACTACACATTGTAAAAAAAAAAAAGAAAGAAAAAAAAAGAAAAAAAAGAAAGTGGCCATAGAGGTACACTTCCATATGGAGAAATATTAAAAGTAGAATTTGAAGGACTTCCATTTTTTAATGTAATCTTTATTTGAGTTAAAAACAAGACACATTATTATAATAAAAAGGATAGATACAGAAAATAGAGTAGCTTTGGATGAATAATATAGAAATAGGGATAGAGATAGAATAGTTAAAAGTAAAGTTATAGAATAGATGGGGGTAGGGGTGTGTCCAGTCTGGTGGGAGGGGAAGAGAAGAAGTAAACAATAAAGAATAGCAGAGTTATAGAGATGATGAGTAGGGAATATATTATAAGAATCTATGTAGATTTGAGTTGGAGAGTGTGAAAAAAGAAAAAAGATGTAGGAAACAGAGATTTTAAGCAGGTAGAAATGTAGAATTTTTGACCTCCCGGTATCTTCTATAAGGTTCTTTCCTTTTCCTTTCTTTCTTCTTCTTTCTTCTTCTTTCTCCTTCTTTTCGCATTATCCACCTTTCTCCTTTTAAGTAATTATTTTCATATTTTTTTCTTTTATTATATATGTTGTTACTTGTTTCCAATCTGTCTCTACCTTTGGCGTGCCCTTCTTTTTAGATAATAGATATGTCAATTTACTTATATTTCTTATATCTAAAATTTTTGTCAGCCATTCCTCTTTGAAGACTTTCATATTGCTTGGAAAGGTATCTTGGGCTTCTGTGTGTGTTTGTAAAGCAAAACTCATAAAAGTGTTAATAGAACCGGGAAAAGCTTTTCAAATTTAATACAGAGCTTAAGGAACTTCCTTTGTCTAGATAAGAACACCCCTGTGGTATTAGAAGCTGTTTTAAAAACAGAGCTGATTTTTGTGTGTGTTTCTGCTTAATGAAGAGCGTAGGAAACTACTTTCCAACCAAATAAATGTTTCCTGTTTGTCAGAATTTATATTTTGCTTTTGAAATTGATATCATGCTATTAGCAGTTGTGGTTGATAGTTTGTGTACATTGTGCTTAATGATATCACCAAGGCTTGCCTCCTATAATATGACTGAAGGTTACATCCAATGAGATAATAAAGGGCTATTTAAATATAAGATTTTGGTGCTGCTTCCCTGAAGAGCGTCTTTTGAGATTTTGTACCTCAGTGAAGGACTGTCAGGCTTTCTCCCATCTCCCATGCTCTCACCCTATGAGTGCTGAGACCAGGGCTGTGTAGATCCCAAAAGTATTGCAGGGAAACTAAATGATAATGACAGGCTGCAAGCCAGCTATCTCGCTTTGCAGCTGTCCATAGTAAGCTAAATCAATTAGTCAAGGGCAGAAGACCTTAGCAGGCATCAAGTGAGATGTCCCCGGGTGTATTAGCACCTTAAGAGGAGTTGTGGCAGACCTCAGCTATACCAGCTATATTGTTATCAGTTAGCTTTCATCAGTGTGTATTGCTTATTTACATTACTTTCATTGTATAGCTGGAATCCTTCTAAGTTCTTGGAATGCTGGATCTCAATAAAACCCCCAATCAAGCAGTACTTTTATTAGGACCAAGTACATGGCAATTTATTTATTTATTTATTTCCAGCTTTTATATTTCGCCCTTCTCACCCCGCAGGGGACTCAGGGCGGATTACAGTGTACACATATATGGCAAACATTCAATGCCAATTTTTGACATACAAACATATACAGACCTACACAGAGGCTATTTAACTTTTTCTGGCCGCCAGGGGAGCTGTCGCTTTCATCGTCCATCTGCGATGCTGATGAAGTACTTCCGCATTCCCCACATGCTTCCCCGCTGGAATGCTTTGCTGGAGTCTTCTTTATGGCCTCATAAATCAGTTAATTTAGCCTCCCCACACTTTAAGGTGGTACCTAATTTTCCTACTTGACAGATGCAACTGTCTTTCGGGTTGCAAAAGTCGACAACAGGCTACATACAATTGGTTGGAAACCCACTCCAACCCAGGCTGGCTTCGAACTCATGACCTTTTGGTCAGAGTGATCTTAATGCAGCTGACACTCAGCCAGCTGCACCACAATCCCGGTGCAATGTGTTTTTTAGTTAGTTATAAATCATTTGACTCCTGAACTTGGAAAAAAGCAGAATACAAACAAATAAATAGCAAGTCCACAAGAAGTGTGTGAACTTTTCAGTTCTTCAGAACTCAATATCAGAGTTAAAGGGTACAAAAATAGGGGATGAACAGGGAAGGTTTTTTTGAAAGCCAGATTTTGTGAACATGACCCATTGAATTAATAGAACTTACTTGGTTACTTACCAAGTGCCTCTTAAATTCAGTGCCTCTATTCAAGCTGGGATTAACAAATGGATTTGTCTCAAAGTTTGAAGTTAGACCACTGGATCCCAATCTGTGATCTGTGGACCACCAGCGGTCCACAAGAACTAAAATATGGTCCACGGCCTCCCCATTACCACAGAACCCTCTTATAGTGCTAAGGCTTATTAAACATGGTTTTCTGTGGGTAAGCAGATGGCGACTACTGGATGGCATCTGTTCTGTATCAGAAATGATGCAATTTTCTGAATCAGCACCCCAAATCTAAAGTTGACCAAAAATTGATTCGTAACCCTTTTGGTACTAATGTTGGAGAGTGGTCCCTGGTCAAGTGGTCCCTGGCCAAAAAAAAAGGTCAGGAAACACTGAGTTAGACCCTGGATGGCCAGAAGTCTGCCATTGCTGCTCCCAGATTTTGTAACTCTCTCTCTGGGATGTTTCCCTCCTTGCTCTCATCCCACTGGAATGTAAACAAACTCCTGTTTTCCTGGACTTTTAGGTATTGAATATGATAAACTTTTATATGCTGTTTTTAATTGAATGTTATATGATAGATTGTTCAAAAATATATTATATATATATATACATTACTGTGTGTTTGTATGTCTTTAATCTGTACTCATTTTAATAATTTGCAATCTGCCTTGTGTTCCATTATTGGGACTATTGGGTGGGCTATAAATGGATAAAATAATAATAAAACAATATGACGGGAATTATGATTTGGCATCAGTTAGAGAGCTACTGGCTCCTTGCCCGTTGTAAAGCTATGAGGCATCAGTGGCAGACATTTTTTGGCATTGATTATTCTCATTTATCGGTCAACTGCTTTCACTCAAGTGTCATAGGGTTGGCTTATCAACTGTGCACACATATGTCTTATTTATACAACGTCCTCCTTGTTGAAGTGCCAAACATTTTTCTCCTCTCTCCTTTTGCCCCTCTCCTTCTTTTTTGTAGGCATTAACCACTGGCAGCATCCCAGGCTTCATTGATGTCATCATGAACCTCAATTCTCCTGCCTTGCTGGAGGACAACTTGATCTGGCAAGCCAAAGCAGCTGGGAAACGGATCATCTTTTATGGCGATGACACCTGGGTTAGACTGTTTCCAAAGCAGTTTGTAGAATATGACGGAACGACATCCTTTTTTGTCTCTGACTACACCGAGGTAAGAAGTTCATTGGGTGTGTTGATGTAAGAAGGGACACAGTTGGATTAGCATATATATATAATTAATTGCTCACATAAAAATGTGATTTTCTATGTATGTTTTAAAAATTAGTGTAATGCCTGTTAGTTGCAATTTGGATTAACCTGCCTTATCCTTACGCAGTGTCCTCGTAGCTGCTCTTTTTCAAAATTTGAGAATTGCTTTTTCTTTCCTTCTCATGTTCTAACTGGATGCCTTTTGGCAGCAGGGGGAGGGGGAGAGGTTAGGATTGTCTCCTATCCACCTTTATCTTAATAGCCGAGATGTTTGATACCCTCTGTATTCCCACTTTCTATATCAGAACTGTGCAGCCTTGGAGGGTTCAGGGTCTATTTCCTGTCATCCCTGAATCTCCAACAATTGTGTGTGTGTATGTGTGCGGGTAAAGTGCAGGAGGAGAATTGTGGTCCCTGGAGTTCTTTTTTCATGAAAATATAAAGGGGAGAGGCTCTTGGGACTACACAACTGGACTATGAGGTTATCATTGCTTTTCTAACCATTCCTTATGTGATGCTTTCAAAATCTCAAGTCGGCAAATCTTCCTTCAGCTTGAGCAAATTCGCAGAGACTTTGGAGTGACCTTAATAAGAACCATTGGTCCATCTGTTCTTACTGACAGTAGTTTGTGAGGGATTAAGGCCAATTCTCTCTCTTTTATTTATTCACCAGATTTAGAGACAAGCACCAGGACTGTGGTGCAGCTGGCTGAGTGTCAGCTGCATTAAGATCACTTCTGACCAAACGGTCATGAGTTCAAAGCCAGCCTGGGTTGGAATGAGCTTCCTACCAATTGTGTAGCTTGTTGTCAACTTTTGCAACCTGAAAGACAGTTGCATCTGTCAAGTAGGAAAAGTAGGTACCACCTATGTGTGGGGAGGCTAATTTAACTAATTTGCGAGGCCATAAAAAGACTCCAGCAAGGCATTACAGCAAAAAGCATGCGGGGAATGCGGAAATACTTCATCAGTGTCGCAGATGGACAATGAAAGTGACAGCTCCCCTGATGGCCAGAAAAAGTTAAATAGCCTCTGACTGGCTGTCTATATCTGTTGTGTGTCTTTGGCATTGAATGTTTGCCATATATTGTACATTATAATCCACCCTGAGTCCCCTGCGGGGTGAGAAGGGCGGAATATAAATACTGTAAATAAATAAATAAATAGAGACTATTCTTTCTCTGGCAATGTTTTTTGGGGGGATGTCTTACTTCAGGCTGCAGTTGAGAGACATGGTTGAATGTTCCCCAGGTGAAAACAACACACTCTTGAGAGATGTAAATCTACATTTATTTCCCTAACTCCTGTGACAATAAATAAAGTTTTCTCTTACATCAGTGGTTCCCAACCTTTTTTTTTTTTTACCAGGGACCACTTTGTCCAGGGACCACTCTCCAACATTCATACCAAAAGGATTACGAATCAGTTTTTGGTCAACTTTAGATTCAGTTTGGTTATATGGGGTGCTGATTTAGAAAATTGCTTTGAATAGACTACATCAGCTCTAGTTTCTGATACAGAACATATACCATCCAGAAGTTGCCATCTGCTCGCCCACAGAAAACCATATTTAATAATCTAGACCTGATGTGGTCTATCCAATGCAATTTTCTGAATCAGCACCCCAAATAACTGCAGTAACAGAAACAAAGACATCCCTTTCCTGGGTAGTCAGCTTTTCCCCTCCCGACATCCCCATTGACTTGCCACCATTACTGCACCAGCTGCAATCATGTAGTAATGATGAGGCCGTGGACCATATTTTAGTTCTTGTGAACCACTGGTGGTCCATGAGCCACAGGTTGGGAACCACTGCCTTAGATAGATAAGATTATGTACATTGTCCTCTTTTTCTCTCTTTAAATTTTATGGAAAAATAATATATATGAGGCAGTCCCTGAGAAACAAACATCTGACTTATATATGATTCTATTAAAAACATTGGGATTGGTGGTGGGAATGGGAGTGTCAGCTATCTGCAAGTGCTGGAGCCTTCTGCAGTATTTGAAAATGTTTTTTAGCATTTACATCCACAGGTCAAAATAAATAATATGTTTAGACAAACATCTGTTCAAGTTTCATTCAAAGTAGAAACCCAAGCAATAATAATAATAATAATAATAATAATAATAATAATAATTATTATTATTATTATTATTTCCCTTTTGGTTAGTATGGAGTGGGTTAATACCACTGTGAAATTTTTACTATTGTCTGTGTCCTCATTAGAAATATTTAATATCACTTTCTCTCCCTGAAATCTATCCGTAAGATGGGGAATTCACTCCTATCAGAGTTATCATGGGAAAAAAGATGTCTCCACTTGAAGCTTTATCACCAGTCCTTGTTTCCAGACAATCCAAAATATTCAAAAGCCAATTATCACAAGGACAGAAAGTGAGGTGAAATCTTCTAAACATGAGCACAGAAAGCAAAACAAAAGTTATGGGTTGTTAACCCTTTCCGATTTTATCCCAAACTAAAACATTACACTTAAACAATGTATCTGTTCCGACTTACATACAAATTCAACTTCAAAACAAACCTACAAAACCTATCTTGTTTGTAACTCATGTACTGCCTTTATATATTTCCATGTGCACTTTATAAAGGATTTGTTGCTTGATTATATACATTTTATAAACTGGAGATATGAACAGTATAGTGAGGCTGGATATAGATTCTAACTTATTTTGGCTTTTCATTTTCCCTAAAGGTTGACAACAATGTAACCAGACATTTGGATAAAGTGCTGAAAAGAGAAGATTGGGACTTACTCATCCTTCACTACTTAGGACTGGATCATATTGGCCACCTCAGTGGACCAAACAGCATTTTAATAGGATCCAAACTTTCTGAAATGGATGGCATCATCAAGAAGATTCATACTTCTCTCCTCTCCAAGGTGAAATGCTTATATATGGATGTGAATCTTGTCTAATTGGGAGAATAGGAACATCATATCGGGTTTTGTACTCTGATCCACATACATTTTTTAAACTGAACGCCCCACTACATTCACTGATGGCTGTTCTCAGACAAATGCACACAGGGATAGTTGCTTTGTATATTAATGTTGCCTTTAGCATTTTTGCATATTAAGCTGGCACTTTAGAACAGCAGTTTCCAGACTGTCCTGCGGAACCCTAAGGTTCCACGAAAGCGTAATAGGGGTTCTGTGAAAAAACTTAACAATCAAATTTAAAACTGATTTTAAAATAAAGTCCCAAGAAAGGCACTTCCCAGACACCAGCGGGAACATCAAGTGAATGCAAAATCAATTTGTCAAAAGAAATACACCTCACATGTATGAAGATCTTACAGAAATTCACTGTACCCCTGCTTTAAAAACAAAATTTGTATTTGAATGATTTGTGGGTAGGACTAATAAACATGTGCCTATGAGTAGCTGGCAAGGCTATCTGAGCAATGCTCCCCTTCATTTGCACCTTTTCAGCTTATGCTTACACCAGTAACAAATTTAAGAATAAGTTGGATGTCCTCCTGGATTTACATACACAGCTATCAAACATAAAGCCACATTTCAAAAGTAATTCAAGTAAAAAAAAATGAAACAATTTGATCCATTGGATTGCTGTGAGTTTTCCAACCTGTATTGCCATGTTCCAGTAGCATTCTCTCCTGACGTTTTGCCTACATCTATTGCAGGCATCCTCATAGGTTGGTAGGTATATTGGAAACTAAGCAAGGGAGGATTATATATCTATTGAAGGTCCAGGGTGGGAGAAATAATTCTTGTCTGTTGGAGGCAAGTTTCAATTAATTATCTTGATTAGCATTGCAAAGCCTTGCAGCTTCAAGGCCTGTTTGATTCCTGTCTGGGGGAATCCTTTGTTGGCAGGTGTTAGCTGGCCCAATTTGATTCATTATAATACGTGTCACTCCAATACTTTCTTGTATGAAAATAAAGTTCTGTGGTTATAATACAAAGCCCCCCCCCCCCCCAATCTTCTACACTATACAAAACACTCAGGCAGTAAGAGTGAATGTAAGAAGACAGAACTTTGTGGGTTGACAACACTTAACAAAATTAGGGAAATAATTAGGGTTTGACAGGAAAACAAACACCTTTTGAATGGTTGCATGACCAAACACTTTGTAAACCACTGCTCTAGAATGTCCTGCCAAATATATTACAAAATGAGTAATATCCAATACCATTAATATACAAAACACAGAGAAAAACCTAGGTTTGTCTTTCACATATTTCTTTAATAGGGTTCAGTGTCCATTGTCATGTCCCAGCACTCCAACAAGTTGCAACCATATACAATACACATATTTGTTGTGCACAGACTTTACATTTTTAGTAGACCCCCCCCCTTATGAACAAAGGAAATGAAGTGAACATGACTGATGTTTATTTGGTTTCTTAGCTCAGTCTTATCTATAAAGTTAGCATGTCTGAGTGGTGTGTTCATCTTAGCCTTCTGCCATAACATTATGATGTGTTTAAAAGGAGTTGACTTTATTCTGCTTTTGTGCATCCCAGTCAGATAGTGAACTTGCTGGCATGGCAATCATTCCTAAAAACATTTGTGATCTTACATCTGTTTGGTAAGGCAGCAAAATGACTAACCAAATATGCCCACATAGCCTGCCAATTCCATGGAAATGTCTTTCCCTTCAGGAAGAAGGAGAAAAGGCTCTGCCTCCATTACTGGTTGTGTGTGGTGACCACGGGATGTCTGAAACGGGGAGCCATGGAGGTTCCTCAGAGGGAGAAGTGCGGACACCCCTGCTCTTGATCAGCTCCGCTTTCAACAAAAGAAATGGTATGAATTGCATTTTTTCTTGCTATGAGTTCAGTAGTGGGGTTAATTTGCTCTGTTCAAAATGGTCATTGGAGGGGCTACATCTAGGGGTGTGTCTATACTGTTGAATTAATGCAGTTCGACGTCATTTGAACTGCTATGGCTCATTTGAAGTCTAAGTCTAGGGGTGTGTCTATGCAGTTTGATACAGAATGCAAAGATACAGAATGGGGGACGCCTGGCTCGAGAACAGTACATGTGAAAAAGATCTTGGAGTCCTCGTGGATAGCAAGTTAAACATGAGCCAACAATGTCATGTGGCAGCAAAAAAAGCCAATGGGATTTTGGCCTGCATCAATAGGAGTATAGTGTCTAGATCCAGGGAAGTCATGCTTCCCCTCTATTCTGCTTTGGTTAGACCACACTGTGTTCAATTCTGGGCCCCGCAATTTAAGGGAGATGTAGACAAGCTGGAATGTGTCCAGAGGAGGGCAACTAAAATAATCAAAGATCTAGGGAACAAGCCCTATGAGGAGCGGCTTAAAGAGCAGGGCATGTTTAGTCTGCAGAAGACAGGGCTGAGAGGTGACATGTATAAATATGTGAGGGAAAGTCATAGGAAGGAGGGAGCAGGCTTGTTTTCTGCTGCCCTGGAGACTAGGATGCGGAACAGTGGCTTCAAATTATAGGAAAGGAGATGCTACCTGATCATTAGGAAGAACTGTGAGAACTGTTCAACAGTGGAACTCGTCCTTGGAGTGTGATGGAGGCTCCTTTTTGGAGGCTTTTAAACAGGCTGGGTGGCCATCTGTTGGGGGTACTTTGAATGCAATTTTCCTGTTTCTTGGAATGGGGTTGGATGGCCCTCAAGGTCTCTTCTGATTCTATGATTCTATGTTGCCTCAATCTCTTTGATGAAAAGGCTGGACATAACTTTAATTCTAAAAATTATGTAGTGAGCTGCTTATGGAATAGGACACAACTGGAGAAGCCTGGGTATGTTAAAAACAGATTAGTGGCCAAAGGAATTGTGTGTCTTTCTCAAAGGAAGAGTCAGACTATAGGAATTGTAGCATTAGTGATAATTTGAATATTTCTAATTCAATTTATCAATGGGAGCAGAGGAACCTGAGCTGTTTTCTTGAACTATAGCAGCAAAAAGAGGAAAATCTTATGCAGTAGATCTCCCTATGCAGAACATGCATCATTTCGTGACACTGTAATTCAGTTTAACTAACTAACTGAAGGTTAAACCAATCCCTTATAAGATACTGACACATATAAAATTGTAATAATGAAATGTAGGGGACACAACATATCTCATGAAAACCTTTTTATTCATATTTAAAAGAGACATGATTTGTAAAACAGTAACATACATTTCCAAAATTTTTGTCATTTTTCATTTTCTTTGCATGACACACCTATGCACTGCAGCCGAACACATTCAAATGTGTCATGATACACAGTTTGGAAAGCTCTGTTCTATGGGATAATATATTTTGGAGAAGGAGATCAACACCTGTTTTCTTTTTTTACCATCTCAGGTCCCCAGAAACCCCCAGAACTTGTTCAGCAGACTGACTTAGCTGTTACGCTGGCACTAGGCCTTGGCTTGCCAATTTCAAGGAACAGCGTTGGGAAGCTGCTGCTGCCTGTTGTACAACAGAAGACAATGAGAGAACAGCTACGGTACTTGCATTTAAATGGATTCCAGCTCAGCCGACTTCTCCAAGAGAATGTGCCAGCGTATGAAAAAGGCAAGTAAGTGAATGTTTGTTCTGGCAACTAGCAAACATTCTTCATGGGGAGAAAATGTTTGAAAGGAACAATGTAGCAATCAGCTCAATGGGCAATTGAAATAGACAGTTTGTAAGGCCAGTGGGGAGATACAGCAACAAAAAATAACAGTTGATATTAAGCGTGAAAAACATGGGATCATTCGTCAAGAACAGGGGTGGGCAACTGCCAGGGGCTGGAAAGATCATATCACACATGCAATGGGGACCCTGGAAATTTGCACCCCCATTTTCTGTTCTCCTAGCCTTCAAAGATTTGAAGTGCTAGATTTATTTACTTGTCCTTGAAAGATCAGTAGCATCTCCAAAACCACTGGAAATTTTTGCTAAACTTAGATGTTGTCTTGTACACCTTTCATTAGTTCCCAGCCTGGGCAAAGCCTTATTTCGAAATGACGTCAGCAGGGGGGCACTTGAAAAACCCAGAATCCAATAGCAAAAAGCTATGGTAGTTAAAGTGGTGTCAAACTGCATTAATTTTACAGTGCAGGTACACCTTAGGTTGTACAGCTTCAGATTGTGGGTGCTCTTCCACCTTGCTGTCCTGATGTTTGGTTCCTTGCATGTAATACACCAGCTATCAGGAATAATAATAATAATTTTATTTTTATTAATAATTTTATTAACTCGCACAGTTAATACGAAATCCAGCATATATATCTCTTTTGCTGTGTCATACTGTGATTTTATTTTCGTACCCTGTCTCCATCTCCCCGAAGAGACTCATGGCGGCTTCCATATGGCACAATGTGCCTAAAACAACACATAAAAGGCATGATTGGTGGGGACGAGAGACAGGGCCTTCTCGGTGATTGCTCCCCAGCTATGGAACTACCTTCCTAGTGGGATCAGGTTGCACCCCTCCCTCCTGTCCTTTAGAAGGATGGTAAAAACTTGGCTGTGGGACCAAGCTTTCGGGACAGGGCAATAAAGCGGCAATAGGAAAAATGACCAGGCTAATTAGATTTGACGCGGATGACTAGGATGGTTTTAAATTGTTTATTTTAATATTTTGATAAATGTTTTTTTAATGTTTATGTATGTGTATGTGAATTTGTGTCCCAGCGTTGAATGTTTGCCATGTGTATGCTGTGCTCTGCCCTGAGTCCCCTTTGGGATCAGAAGGGCAGAATATAAATGTTTTAAACATACAAGCAAACAAACAAACAAACAAACAAAATAAAACAACAGTACAATACAAAATAAAACCAATAGCATATAAAACAATAACTTAAATTCAAAACAACGCCCAATAATCTGTGGTGAGAACTGTCGTAAAACATGGCCAACAGTAAACAAGAACTCTCGATAAAATAGTAAAGAGTAGAGACATCACACTGGCAACAAAGATCCGCCTAGTCAAAGCCATGGTATTCCCTGTAGTAACCTACGGATGTGAGAGCTAGACCTTAGGGAAGGCTGAGCGAAGGAAGATCGATGCTTTTGAGCTGTGGTGTTGGAGGAAAGTTCTGAGAGTGCCTTGGACTGCGAGAAGATCCAACCAGTCCATCCTCCAGGAAATAAAGCCCGACTGCTCACTGGAGGGAAGGATACTAGAGACAAAGTTGAAGTACTTTGGCCACATCATGAGGAGACAGCAAAGCGTAGAGAAGACAATGATGCTGGGGAAAGTGGAAGGTAAAAGGAAGAGGGGCCGACCAAGGGCAAGATGGATGGATGGCATCCTTGAAGTGACTGGACTGACCTTGAAGGAGCTGGGGGTGGTGGCGGCCAACAGGGAGCTCTGGCGTGGGCTGGTCCATGAGGTCACGAAGAGTCGGAGACGACTGAACAAATGAACAACAACAACAACAACAACAACAAACAAGAACAAGGGAATGGGATAGTGCAAGTTGTAGCTAATGCTGGCATCCTATTATTGAAAACATAAATTTCTAGAGGAATTCTATAATATAGAGCCCAATCTGGAATTTAAACGGGTGATGGAAGCCCCCCCCCCCCCCAACCAATCAGTGTGACAAGGCAGTTGGCCAGCAGTGTTCCCACAGAGTGTCTTGTTTGGGGGAATCACAAAAAGATAATACTGCCTAATGGTAGAAGATCAAAGGGACTGCATGCAAGTAGCACTTCTCTAGCCTTGTACAAGAGCAATGGCGTCAAAACCTATTAAAATATGGAGGAGGGTTCTGTTATTGTCATATAAAATTATAATCTGTGAATGGTACTTTCCACTAGGTTGCAGACATATTGCTGTCTTCCCGTGTAATGTAATTTGCAGAATGGGATCTAGCTCTGGAATGAGCTCCCCTCCCTTCCCTTGTTAGCACCTTTAAACCATGGTTCCTGATCTTTGCCCATACATTTTTTTCTTACCCATCTTGTAAAACTTGTGTCAGATTCCGGTTAGCAAAGTAGTCCCATGGTTACAATGGAGTATATACACGTATCTTCTACAAGAGTCTAAGAATGACTTTCTGACATGCGTTAATGTCTCTTGTTACTAGATCCTGGATTTGAACAGTTTAAGATGGCAGAGAAATCTCATGGAAATTGGATCAAGCTTTATTTGGATGGAAATACTTCAGAAACTCTCATAAACCTTGGCAAGAAGGTCCTTAAGCAGTATTTGGAGGCTCTCAAGACCCTGAGCTCTTCTCTAAGCAAGCAAGTGGCGCAATATGACATGTATTCAATGATAGTGGGAACAGTGATTGTTCTGGAGGTAGGAACCAGTATATTAAAGTAATCAAAGTGTGTTAGTTCAGTTTACCAAAGTACTTCGTGAGACAGGAATTGTGCAGGATAGTGAGGAATGTGGGGCTGAAACTACCTACATTCCTATAGTTGCCTGAACGTATTGTCGAACAGCAGCTAGACCAGAATGCGGTTGTCACCCCTACACTACATTATCCATGATTATCTATTTAAAAGCACAATGTTTATGTTTTGAAGCTGCCCTGCATAGCATCAGATTGGGTCCTTTTACTGTACATACGTTTAGCATATGATTTGACTTCCTGGGATTTGTAACTTGTGGGGACATTTATGCCTCTCAGTCAGAGCTCACCAAATTGCAAATCCAGAATTCAATAGGATGCAATCATGGCAGCTAAAGTCGAACAATACTACTATAATTGTGTAGTATGGAAGGGCCCCTAGAGGGCAGCTAGGAGTAGAGGATGTATCTTCAAAAATAAGTGACTGGTGTTTTATCATGAGAAAGTTTCTTTGTACCTGGCAGAGTACATACAAGTCATGCTGGAGTCTCGCCTAGAAATTTCTAGGGAAGGATTTGCTAGAATCGTCTGCTGTACAATGGGCAGAATCAACTGAAGTCAAATAGCAAGCAGCTTGAATAGAAAGAAGACATCTTTTGCAGAAAATAGAGAGACAGTCACACCCTAAAGGCAATTGCGTGACCAGAAAGGATGTGTGAAAAAGAGATAAAGGTGGCTTTATGGAATCTCTTGTCTGTAAAACCCTGCTTTATTTTTGAACATTTAGAATGCACATACCCTTGGGGAAAGAGGTGTGTTCAAGAACATTTGATTTCACTGTTTGATCAGGAATACCGTTTCTGTATCTTGAACTTGCCTATTGTACATGCTACTGAAAAGAGTGAAGGATCCTCCTTTTAGTACCAAGTATAATGTATTGGTTCTTCTTTCGTTACAATTGTATTCATCCTACTGTGACTTTTTAGAGAGGATTTATTAGAAAAAAAGTGAAGTTAGAAATAGTGGGTGGTGTATGTGTTAAAAGATGGCATATCTTCATCATCTAGACCAGTGTTACTCAACCTGGGGGCCAGGACCCCAGGGGGGGGGGTCACGAGGGGGTGTCAGAGAGGTCGCCAAAGACCATCAGAAAACACAGTATTTTCTGTTGCTCATGGGGATTCTGTGTGGGAAGTTTGGCCCAATTCTATCATTGGTGGAGTTCAGAATGCTCTTTGATTGTAGGTGAACTATAAATCCCAGCAACTACAACTTGCAAATGTCAAGGTCTATTTTCCCCAAACTCCACCAGTGTTCACATTTGGGCACATTGAGGATTCATGCCAAGTTTGGTCCAGATCCATCATTGTTTGAGTCCATGGTGCTCTCTGCATGTACGTAGATGAACTACAACTCCAAAACTCAAGGTCAATGCCCACCAAACCCTTCAAGTATTTTCTGTTGGTCATGGGTGTTCTGTGTGCCAAGTTTGGTTCAGTTCCATCCTTGGTAGAGTTCAGAATGCTCTTTGATTGTAGGTGAACTATAAATCCCAGCAACTACAACTCCCAAATGACAAAATCAATCCCTTCGAACCCCACCAGTATTCAAATGTGGGCATATCAGGTATTTGTGCCAAATGTGAATGAAAATACATCCTGCTTATCAAATATTTACACTATGATTCATAATAGTATAAAATTACAGTTCTGAAGCAGCAACGAAAATAATGTTATCTTTGGGGATCACCACAACATGAGGAACTGTATTAAGGGGTCGTGGCATTAGGAAGGTTGAGAAACACTGATCTAGATATTGAATGTAGAAGTGTTGAGTTGGAATCTTTCTCTGTCTTTCTTTTACTGCAGGGCAAGCAAAACTACCAGCCATTGGTCAGTAGTAGTAGAATACTATACCCCGCTTTAGAAATATTGTGTATTCTCATGTGTAAATCTAGACATTTCAGCTAAAAAAATGATCTCAAAACCTGGGTCAACTTTTCCATGGGTCAATATAAATACTGTACCTTAACTCTGATCAAAAAGGAACTATCTCCTTCTGAATAGAGTGGTGATATGAGAGGGCATAGCCCATCCTAAAGAAACACTGACCCTCCAGCACTGTCTCTACCATGTCACCACTTCTGGCCTTTTGAATACCTTGGTGGGTACATAGCAGTGGTGGATGGGGGTGGCTGGCCGGCCCTCTGAGGTGGTGTTGGTTCTTTCCCCTCTCCATGAAATGAGCCAAGACTTTTCTATAGGTCATTTCAAAATCCATAGTTTTAGCCCCAAATCCTGTCCTCAAGTTACACATAAGGTCAACTTATACTCAAGAATATACAGTAGTAGTAACTTGAGATTTCAACAACAGTGGCATGGTATCAAATGAACCTGAAAAATTATTTCACTACAGGCTTAATAGCAGCAAGGAGATATCTAGATCACTGTAAGGCTTTGTCAAAGGCTTTCATGGCCGGAATCACTACGTTGTTGTAGGTTTTTTTCGGGTTATATGGCCATGTTCTAGAGGCATTCTCTCCTGATGTTTCCTGCATCTATGGCAAGCATCTTCAGAGGTAGTGAGGTCTGTTGGAACTAGGAAAATGGGTTTCTATATCTGTGGAATGACCAGGGTGGGACAAAGAACTCTTGTCTGTTGGAGCTAGGTGTGAATCAAATGTTAATCAAGTGGTCAGTTGAAACATTAACATCTAGCACCAACAGACAAGAGTCCTTTGTCCCACCCTGGTCATTCCACAGATATATAAACCTTTTTTCCTAGTTCCAACAGACCTCACTACCTCTGAGGATGCTTGCCATAGATGCAGGCGAAACGTCAGGAGAGAATGCCTCTAGAACATGGCTATATAACCCGAAAAAACCTACAACAACCCACTGTAAGGCTTTGTTTTAGTTATCTCTCTGTATGTGGCATCAAATTTCTGCAAGACAGATATTTTCTGAGTTTTTTTTTTTTTTTTGGAAATGTATTGTTGAAGGCTTTCATGGCCGGAATCATTGGGTAATTGTAGGTTTTTTTGGGCTGTATAGCTATGTTCTAGAAGCATTCTCTCCTGACGTTTTGCCTGCGTCTGTGGCAAGCATCCTCAGAGGTTGTGAGGTCACTAATTTGTGCATTGTGCTTCAATCGAGGTAACATAAACCCAGACTTGTCCCCTCATTGTTGTTGCCTTTGATTCATTGACTCTGTTTTGAGCTTTTCCTTCTTCTTCCCGCAGGTGCTGCTCCTACTCTTGCTGAGCACCCCAAAAGCCCTGAGCAGCAAGGCACAACTTGAGGTCCCCCTCTCTCCATTGTGTTCTCTGCTCTTCTACCTGTTGTGCCTGATGCTCTGTGCTGTTCATGTAGTGGTTTGTACCTCGATGGAAAGCTCGTGCTATTTCTGTAGCCTCTCATGGATAACAGCCATTGGAGTGATAATGCTGGTCTCAGGGCTGCTGTGTGTCATCCTGTCTACTGTGGAAAATGGATTTGTGAATCCAAAACAACCAGCAAAGGTAAGATACTCCAGAAACTGTCTTGAATCTTTCTTACCTGCTGTCTGGAGTTCAACTCTTTGAAAAGGGGGAAGCCTGTGGGTTAACTCTTCCTCCCCTTGTGCCTTTGAAAATCATGCCTTCCTCTTCTTTAATCTTTGCAGGGAGAAAAGGGTGTCTGTATCATTCTCCAGGGGAATAAAAGCAGTTGGGAAATGATGCTTCCACCAGAAAACTAGAGAAAGGGCCGTGTTGCTCCTCTGTCTTGACACTGACTTTCTGCTTTAAATTAAAGCTTATAAAAATAGCTGCAGAAAAGTAACCAAGCATGGTAAATTGATTCCCCATCCAATTTACAAGCATACAGTCCAGGTCAATAAAGCACATTTAAAAATTGTGGTCACTGCATTTGTTTTTGGTTTCCTCTTAGATAGTCTGGTTGTCCTTATTGGGAGCTATCACCCTATTGAGACACGTTAAATATTTTAAGTTTTGTGTTGTGTGAAGCAGTAATTTCTTTCATCAATGGCTCCTTTCATCCAGCAGTTTAGCTCAATGTAAATATGCCCTGGGTCAGCTCTGGCTCTGTTGTTCAGATGGCTTGTAAGTGCACTCGCTCTACTGGGAAGACATGCACTTCATCTACTCCATGTTGCTGCTGCTCCTAGATGGCCACAGAGCTTTATGCGAGCTTCATGGACGTTGTGGGCACCTCTCTTGATGTCAGAATTGAATACTCACTCAACCAGTAAGGAGGAGGGCAGTGTGAACACACGGAAAGGATGATGGTGCCAGTAGATAGTAGTTCACATCCCTCTGTTTTGGCTTTTCTGGCTAGGGCTGCTGGGAGTCACAGTTCAACATCTCGTGGGCAATAAGTTTCCCAGACTTTTAAGCTTGGGCTCATGTGTTGTGAATGTCCTTACTCTCATTCTCTATTATTGGCTGTGAATCATAGAATCATAGAATTGGAAGAGACCACGTGGGCCATCCAGTCCAACCCCCTGCCAAGAAGCAGGAAAATCACATTCAAAGCACCCCCAACAGATGGTCATCCAGACTCTGCCTATAAGCCTCCAAAGAAGGAGCCTCCATGACATTCTGGGGCAGAGAGTTTCACTGCTAAACAGCTCTGACAGTCAGGAAGTTCTTCCTAATGTTCAGATGGAATCTCCTTTCCTGTTGTTTGAACCCATTGTTCTGCATCCTAGTCTCCAGCGTAGCAGAAAGCAAGCTTGCTCCTTCCTCCCTATGACTTCCCCTCACATATTTATACGTGGCCATCATGTCTTCTCTCAGCCTTCTCTTCTTCAGGCTAAACATGCCCAACTCTTTAAGCTGCTCCTCATAGGGCTTGTTCTCCAGACCCTTGATCATTTTAGTGCCCCTCCTCTGGACACATTCCAGCTTGTCAACATCTCCCTTTAATTGCAATGCCCAGAATTGGACACAGTATTCTAGATGTGGTCTACCCAAGGCAAAATAGAAAGGTAGCATGACTTTCCTGGATCTAGACACTATACTTCTATTTATGCAGGCCAAAATCCCATTGGCTTTTTTGCCATTGCATCACATTGTTGGTTCATGTTTAACTTGTTGTCCACAAGGACTCCAATATTTTTTTCACACGTACTGCTGTCAAGCCAGGTGTCCCCCATTCTGTATCTTTGCATTTCATTTTTTCTGCCTTAGTGGAATATCTTGCATTTGTCACTGATGAACTTCATCTTGTTCGTTTTGTTAACATCATGCGTATCCTAAATTACAGATTTATGTTTGATACCAGTGCAAAATATCCTGTCCAATTCTGGGCCCAGGGACTGTCAATCCAACTGTAGTGTACAATTTGCCTCAGTTTGTTATGCATCTACTGACTTCTTCCTTAAAACACCTAAAACACCTCCTACCCCCATCTTTAAGATGCCTCATTGTTAAAAAGATCTCTACATGTTTGATCAATTATTTGTCTACGTTATTTGTCTGATTTTTTAAAAATCTGTAGCTCCAGACATTTTTTGTTTGGGCGGTCTTGCAATCAGATGTTGCCAGAAATGATCTCAGCCTCTCAGACAGTGAAGACTGATTTGTTGTGGCAACGATATCACAGCTGTAAAGGTGAGAGGTACTCCATCATGATGATTAAATAACAGCGCCTCAGAGAGATCAGTGGTAAAGAACTGCTGAAATTATGGGCATCTTATAATTTTGAAAATCATCACATGAAAACTGCTTCTTCCACTGATCAATGATATCTGAGTTCTTAATGGAATAATAATAATAATAATAATAATAATAATAATAATAGGTTTTAATTCCCTGTAATTTGAGGAAAATGTGTTTAAACAGGTAGGTTTTTGCAAATGGCTCTAGTCTCTAGTTGACCATTTCTTATCTGTAATTTGAAAATCCATAATACCATAAAAATGTCAACAAGGCTGGCTGTGATAGTGACACCTTGACAGTGTACACAAACTTTGTTTCATGTGCAGAGTTATTCAAATATTGTATAAAATTGCCTTCAGGTTATGGAGATAAGTATATCTGGAACATAATTGAATTTCATGTTAAGATTTGGGTCCTATGTACCAAATAGCTCATTATGTATATATGTGCATATACAAATATTCCAAACTCCAAAACCCTTCTGGGCCCCAAGCATTTTGGATAAAGGATACTCAACCTGTAATTTTGCATAAAAGTAATATAAAAATGTTATGTGCAACCAAGTGAAGTTCAAAAAATGGGGAAGTGAGGAAAGGAATTACATTTTAACTTGGTTTTGACCAGCAGTCTTGAGAATTTTGCTGTGTGGGCAGAGGTATAAAAATTAGATAGCTACACTGATTGCTTGGTAGATGAGTCAGTGAGAGTGACAAACTTTTTAAAAAATGAATCTTGATTCTGATGTGCTAGTATTAGGGAGTAGAAAGAGAATATTAAAGACTTTCCCCTCCCAACTATGAGTTTTATTGACTTGTGAGTTACCATATACCTCCTTCATTGTCATATAATGACATTTAGGTAATGTGGAAATTAAATGGCAGATAAGCAGCTGCAAATATTTAATTGGTTGCTTTCATCCGAATGAAAATTTGAACTTCACGGAACTTCTCCTGAGATGGTTTTAGGCATCTGGAGAAATGTCAGCCAAGGAAACCTGAGCAACTCAGGTTTCCTTACTGACTTCCTGTGGGTCTAGGGACCAGAGAAGTGGCACGTTGCCTTTAGAAACTGTAAATACCAGGAGAGGAAACGTGAATCATTCATGCTCTCCACTTGCCACTTTTTAAATAACAGTCAAAAAATCCTGCCTGGTATCATTGGGTGTCATCAACCCAATGTTCTGCTAGGTGGCAACGAATGAACAGACTGACTGACACTGAAGGTATGAGCAGGAAATGAATTGATATTCTGGAGATCTGTGCAGAATGTATGTGACATTTTGTTTTATCAGATCTGTACTCTACCCTTCTTTCTGAAAGAATGGGACTCAAGACAGTGTGAGATAAAGTAATAAAAGCAAGTACAATTAAGGAAAACATAAAACAGATTAGAAAACCATTAAAAACAAATTATTAGGAAACAAGGGAGAAATCAGCTCTCCAGATTAAGAGCATAATTTATAGTCATAGAACTCAACACCCAGAGGCATGTAGATTAAAAAGACCTCCCCACAGCTTGTAAGTAGCCAATGAGAAAGGTCCTCTCTCCTCAGTAGATTTGTGTATAGTCCTTATGTGTTTGATGGATTTGGTAGTGCATGGGCTGCACTTTTAATGCCATTTAATAAGGATTGCAAGCCTGAGAGAGACCATGAATGCATAATGAAGCCCATAAATTGTTAAGAAAAATGGCATAGTGCTGCAGTGAGTGGGAACTGAGGGGCAGGGGCAGAGAAAGGCCCAGATAGTGAGAAAGGAGAAGCGAATAGGCAGGCAAAAAAAGGAAGAGAAGAACTTGGAACTCCTTTTCTTCTTCTTCTTTTAAATAATCTTTATTAAAGTTTTCTTAAAATATGCATATAGGTAAAAGTGATAGAATAGAAGAAGGGAAGAAGAGTGAAACGAAGAAAAAAAAGAAAAAAAACCTCAGAAAAGTGAAATAGAATAAAATAGGAGTATCTCGACCTCCTGATGTCTTCTGAGAGTCTTCTGTTCGCTCTTGTCCTGAAGAAAAAACTGAGGGGCAGCGGCAGAGGGGCAGGGGCAGAGAAAGGCCCAGCTAGTGAGAAAGGAGAAGCGAATAGGCAGGCAAAAAAAAAAAAAGGAAGAGAAGAACTGGGAACTCCTTTTCTTCCCCACCTACTCCATGCATTTCTCATATCAGGGGAAGAAAGTCTAAAAGAAGTTTCTTTCTGGTTCTTCATCTCCACAGTTAGGTGAAACAGCTCACGTGGCAAGCAGGATTGGTGGGGCGGCTGAAGTGGCAGTAGCGCATGGTGAAACAGACAGGCTGAGTAACAGGAAGAGGGGAAAGGTAGTGGGAGTGGGTGGAGAACAAGGTAGGAAAGCGGAGGAACCTCTTGGGATCATGGTGGATAGCCCCCTTCTCCTGCCACCTCATTGCCTCTAGAGATATTTGCCTGAGCCCCTAACCTCCCAAAAGTCGAGAGCCATTTGCCAAAAAATCTGTGTTCTGTTTGACATGTTGCAGTCAGGAGTCCCACACCTGGATGGTGTCCTTTAACAGGCAATGGGCACCTCCAACTCTTACCCTGAATTTAGATTACTAGGCTGGCTTGTGGGAAATAAGTAAGGACAGTAGGGCAACTCTTCTAAAAATATTCCTATAATCTGAGGCTCAGTCAACCTTTCTATTTCCAATTCTTCTTCCTCATTGCGGAAGCAAGAGGAAATCTAGGTGAGATCCCTACCCTTCCAAGTCCACTTTCCTTCTTCCTGTTTTCTCCTGATTAGGTGATGGGAGGAGCACATTTCTGCTGTGGGCAATGATGGAAACTAGATTTGAGATGGACTGGATATTTGGATTGGGTTTGATCCAGTCTGATCCACTGTCCAGATGGCACATTGCCCAATACACATGATTCAAGTATCTTTCTGGGTTGGGCTTTGAGGTAAAGGACTTTTCAGATTAGAAAAAAATGTGGAATGGGTGATATGATAGGTATATAAAAGGTTTGGAGTGAAAAAATTAGATACTCCTTGATATATATACTGGAAAAAAATATGATCACTACTTGTTATAAGTCAAGGATGGGAATCATGACCTCCAGATGTTATTCAACTGAGGTCCCTTTCACACTGCCATATAACACAGAATATAAAGGCAGAAAATCCCACAATATCTGCTTTAAACTGGGTTATCTGAGTCCACACTACCATATATTCTAATTCAAAGCAAAAATTTGGGATTTTTTCAGCTGTGTGGAAGGGGCCTGAAAGTCCCAACAGTCCTCACATAGTCCAAGGTAATGAATGCTGGAGTTGCAATCACATGGTCACAGATGGCCCATATGATTTTCCACAGAGCAGCAACCTCAGGGGAGATGGAGACACCTTCCATCCCCTAATATATACACGAATAAAATCCTAAGAATAGTTTGTGCTCATTGGTGAGCCTTCAGGAAATGAGTTGCCTGTCCTTTCCTTTTTGAATCCATGACACTAGGATGCCTGAGTTGCTGTTTGTGGCTTTTTGTAGTTATTTATTTGTCCCTGTGATACTGTTATTTTGCAGATGCTCTCTTTGTCTTGCCTGATTATATTTTTTATTGTTGTCATGTTTTCTTTACATCTAAGTGAACTTCAATTTACTGGAAACTGTGTATCAAGGATTGTTGAAGGGTTTAGATTTCCTTAAACCAGTCCACTCTTGAGCTTATTAACATATAAAACGTCTTTTTCTGAGCTAACCTTGCATGACAGCTTTTAATGAAATAAACCCATAGTTTCAGTGTGTGCAACGTAATAACCGGGAAATCAATATTCTGCTTACGGTGGCTGTTAAACTTCGTGAATGAATATAATTTTCCCCTGCACAGTAACATGGTGGAAAGACTATGAAGGAGATGAGGAAACAGCTCCCCATTTACCTCCTTTTGAATTTTCTGATTGCTAAAAAGATACCTATTTTTAGTTCCACATGAGCTGCTTCCTACTCTGTCGCAAGACTAGCAACAAGATGAACTTTAAATGTTACACTGGTTATTCAAAGAGAAGCTGCGTGCAGTCCTTGAAGGAGAATGTGCCGTCGTTTCAATAGGACAATTAACTGAGTGTTGACAGTAACTCTGAATTACACTGAAATTAACCTTGTTTCAGACTAGGAATATCGGAGAATTACATAAAATATAACAAAAATACAGTTGTCATTGAAGAAGCAACTGTAAGCAATTTTGCATTCCGACGATTCTAATGATATGTTGAATCCTTCAAAATTATATCACCAATACATTTTTCTCTTTACAGAATCCAGCTGCCTCCACTTCCAGCTGGTCTGAATTTGATGTACTCATTTTGGCAGGCACCATTGGCCATGTGTCAAGTCTGGGTGCTAGCAGCTTTGTTGAAGAAGAGCACCAAACGTGGTACTTCCTTGTCAATACCCTCTGCCTTGCCCTGTGTCAAGAGATCTGCAGGCACTACTTCTTGGCCACAGAAGGTGATCTTCCGCTTCTCTCTGCAGCAAAACCTGGTTCAGAGGAAACAAAGGGAGCGTCTTCCCACCACAGGAAGGATGTTGACCTCTTCCAGGATGATTTGAAAATGGGCAAGGTCTCTTCCACCGAAGACATAAGTGGTTCTGGGAAGTGGATGGCATTAGCCACTCCATGGGTCATTCTTATTTGCTGCCGGCTGCTTCGATCGTTGAATCAGACAGGAGTACAGTGGGCACACAGACCAGATTTGGGACACTGGTTGACAAGGTACATATCTGATTTGTTGTTCAATTGGAGTGAAATAGAGAATTATAGAACCTCTTCCGATAACTTCACAGGGAAGTGAAGGACAGGAGTGGGCCTTCAGATAATGTTGGACTGAAATTCCCACTGGCTAGTCATGGGGGATGATGGAACATCATTCATTAGTAATAGCATTTTTCTTCAATTGTAAGATGTCATTGATTGTAAGAAGCACCCTAATTTCGGTACCACCACTATCACCAACAAAAATACATAAGATACACCTGTGATTCTAAGATGCACCCTATTTTTAAAGATGTTGATATAGGGAAAAGCATATCTTAGAATTGAAGAAATACAGTAATGAACAACCATCCATGCAGTATTCGTTTAGGCTGGCAGTTCCCCTTGCACATAGAAAAGGAATCCTTTAACCAAAATTAAGGTGCTTCATATAGTACTGAGTCAGATTTGCTCCATCTGTAACTGATGTAAATAGTGCAAGTGATTTTAAGGTCCAGAGGGAATGAGTTAAATTGCTCGAAGCCAGTGAAGACAATCACATCATGCCATGCACAGTGTGTTAGGTGCCTTAAAATCAGTGCATACATTTTTTTCAGTGCACTGAACATAAACATGTCATGTAAGCAAAGTATGTAATAAACATAAACATAATAATAATAATGATCGGCACACTGGGTGAAGTACCTAAAGACCTTGGCTTGCACATCAATACAATCGGCACTGACAAAATTGTCATCTATCAGCTTCAAAGGCCACCTTACTGGGATCTGCACGCATTATTCGCCGATACATCACACAGTCCTAGGCACTTGGAAAGTGTCTGACATGTGATCCTATACAACAGCCAGTAGACTGATCTTGCTTGCTGTGCACTCAACTTGCTATGTTCCAAATAATAATAATGGTAATAATAATAATATATTTATTTATATCCTGCTTTTCTCCTTAATGGGACCCAAAGCGGCTCACAACAAATACAATGCAAACCAAAGCACATTTAACATAAAATAGAAGACAAAAATCACACAAAAGACAAGTATTCTCATAAAAAAAATTCCACACAAAGGTTTGAATCAGTTTGAATATATTATTTAAAGACATTAAATGTGTTTGTTTCTTACTTAAATAACAAAATTGAATGGGATCCAGAACGCCTTCTAGTCCCATTTCAGGAACATACCACTAAAACATTTATTTATTATTATTTGCTTCATTTATACCTCGCCTTTCTCACCCCACAGGGGACTCAAGGTGGCTTACAACCCCAGCAAGATTCATTGCCACTTAAAAATATAACAACAAAACATATGCCATCAACTAAAAACAATTGACACCCCTGAGAAGCAGCCATCCAGGCTTTGTTTAAAACCTCAAAGAGGTCCATCACCTTCCAAGGGACCCATTCCATTATGGGACAGCTCTTGTCATCAGAAAGTTTTTCCTAATGTTTAGTCAGAATCGCCTTTTGTGTGAAATGAAATACCTGCAAGAAAAGACCTTGTTAAATATGGGCACAACAGCTAGAATACCCTATGCACAATTGTGGAAGACCATGGAGATTCCCCCCAGTAACTAGTTGGATACCAAAAAAAAAAAAGTTGAAATGGCAGAAATTGATAGACTAACCCCATTGATAAAAGAAAAGACAACATATAATGTTATTGAAGAGTGGAAGCCATTTCTTACATTTTTGAGAGTAAATGGAAAGAAAATATCTTAGGTGAGTTTTGAGAACTAACTCTCCCTTAGAGTTGAAGAACTGAAAAAGGAATAGAGTGTATACAAATGGTGGTAGACTGTATAATTTTTTAAAAAGTAGTTTGTTTATAGAAAAGCATCAAAATACTTTTTAAAAAGGTAAACAATCTACCACCACCACTTCTTTTTTTCTTTCTTTTCATTCCAATAGATTTTAAATGAGTAGTTTTGCCTGTCATTAATGTTGTCCTAGTTTTGGAGTTGGTACATTTTTTATTTGTCAGTTGATGTTTTATGGGGTTTTTATGGACATGATGCTCAATACACATGAATTCGACAAATGAACAAGTACCATAAAATATCCTTTTTTCATGTAATTTGAGTTCATTTATCTGTGTCCCTCATTTTGCAGTAGTAGAAAACCAGTTCATCTTAAACAACACAGTCCTTTATAGATTTGACAATGGTTGTTGTGTTATGTCTTGTTTAGGCCAAGTAGATAATAATAATAATAATAATAATAATAATAATAATAATAATAATAATAATAATCTTTATTTATACCCTGCCACCATCTCCCCAATGGAGACTCGGAGCGGCTTACATGGGGCCAAGCCCGAACAATATATTGCAACAAAATAAAACCAGAGTATAAACAATAAACAACATCATCAAATTACACCAAGAAAAAAATGATAAACACAGTCATAAAATAACATTCCAATAAACACAATCACGCAGTTTTTGAAAACCTATGGCCTGTTTAATTATGCTCTACTTGGCTTATTGGAAAATCACTTCTAACCCCTCCTCTTGCTCTTATAATCTCCAGTTTAGCTAGTGGGATGCCGAACCTGGAAAGCCTGAGGCTCAGTGCTTGAAAGAGATCAGACTTGAACAGAGGACTTTTTGGTCCCCTGTCATATTCTGTTGCTAGACTACCTGAAGCACCTATGAATGCAGTGACTTGGGAATTGTGACTGATGCTTCTTTAAGACAGGGATAATCACATTTCCTTTTGCCACTTTACAAGGTGCCTTCAGTGAAGAAGCTATTTTTTAATGTCATAAAAGTGCCAGTTCCCTAGCCACAGTGTTTCCATAGCAAACTCACTCAGCTTACGAAATATGCTTTTTACTGCAAGTCTGTGCAATTCGTGAGCCACCAGGCTAAACACGGCATGTCCCTTGTATGGCAGCCCACGGGAGGCTGGATTAGCCAGTGCTTTTTGCCTGCGCCGTGCTCCAACCCTGTTCTGGGACTACACAAGCATGTACATACGTGTGTATGTGTGACAGTACACAGCATGTTACAATAGTCACAGCATTGTGTGTGTTCTGTTCTAAAAATAAAATAAGAGCTACGCACCAAGGCAACCCAGATCCTGTGATGCAAAAGCTGAATTACGCTGCTTCTACAAACTGAATGAGTTTGTGCGATTTCAGTTGTTTGGGGTAATTCTGCAATTGATTCTATTTTTGTACTGCTTCAGCTAGTTGGAAAAAGCAAGGAACTGAGGATTGGCCAAACAGTTCATGTTTTTGCAACCATAATACCTAAACAGGCATTTGAAAGAAATAAGTTGAAAGCAATACAGCTTGTGTTTTTTATCTGAGTTCCTTTTGAATTTTGGCATACGATGTGACAAATCCAGAACTACCTACTGGTTTAATGGATCAGGCATATTTTAGAAAGTGATCAACTTGTTCCATTACTGAGATTCAAGTGGCAGCATAATCTTCATATCATCTCACTGAGAAGCAGCATCTTTTGCTGTTTGGGCTGCCTTGTATCTTTAGTGTTACAGGAGATGTAGGTGCATGTACAAAGGTAAGCTACTGATGTTTATCATCATACAAAACGCCACACTGTCTGTCTGCTAATGACTATATTGGTGGGGATGGAGGCAGATGGAGAATCAGATTGAATCCAACTTCTTCAAATCGTAAAAGAATCCAATTTACAAAAAAAAAAAATGTTGGTAGAAAAAAAGAGCATTGTGCCTGTCCTTTAGTGTCTCTTCCATTTTTCCAATCCAGTGTTTCTCAACCTGTGGGTCCTCAGATGTTTTGCCCTTCAACTCTCAGAAATTCTAACAGCTGGTAAACTGGCTGGGATTTCTGGGGGTTGTAGGCTGAAACACTTGGCGACCCACAGGTTGAGAAACACTGGACTGGAAAAATGGAAGAGACACTAAATTTTATTTATTTATTTATTTATTTATTTATTTATTTATTTATTTATTTATTTATCATGTCATCCGCAACTAAGGACAGGCATGATGCTCTTTCTTTTTTTCTACCAACATTTTTTGGCAAATGGGATTCTTTTACAAGTTGAAGAAGTTGAGAACCACTATTCTAATAAATATGATCAATGTTTTTTTCAAAGGAACTTCCAGAATTACATTTTTTCCAGGTGTGCTTAGTCTAAATGAAAAGATTCCTTGAATGACAGATTGCTCATTGCTACCATTCACTATCAGGACCATTTTGGGATGTCTTGTAGAACAGTAGTTTTCAGACCTTGGGCCTCTAGGAACACAATTATACTGAACATTTAGGTTGGTCTCTCTCTAGAGTCCTGTTGGGCCCAACCTAGTCGCCAGTATCCTAGACCTAAAAATGGGTCTGTATAGATGGGGGTCTCCATATTTTGGGCTGCCAGTCCTAACCCATAGCCATTATGATTGGAGTATCTGAAATTTGGAAACCAAAACAATTGAGAACCATTGCTTTGGGGGTATTCTTGGATTTTAATGGATGAAGATGACTCCCAACAGGTCTGGAAATTGTTCACTCACCCCCTCTTCCCATCATGCTGAGAAATCTTTACAGTATGCTACAAATGGTTCAATAATATTTATTCATTATTTTTGGACTTTTGTTATTATTGATTTATTGCTAGGTGGGTGTAAAAGAAAAAGTGTAATAATAAACAAAATTCATTATAAGCTAAAAGTGACACAATTAAATGTACAACATGAAACTGTTCTCATTTAAAGTCAATTTGTGTGTGTTTGTAAACAAATCTTTGCCTGGTGCTTGAAGGAGAGTCAAGTGCCAGGCAACTTAGGAACTACGTTGTGGAAAGCCCTGCTTGCTTACTACCAAATTCAATGGGGACACAAAAAGGAGGGATTCTTAAGTCAGCCACATTATGAGCAGTAGCACATAACACTTGTTTGATTCTCCCCATATATCACCTTTCTCCAACCTGGTGTCCTCCACATGGGTTTGACCGCAATTGCCAGTTTGGCTGGCCATTGTGGTTAGGGAAGACCAGAGTTACAATCCAACATGTCTGAAAGACATTAGGTTATGTTATATAAAATGTCTGGTACATTTAAAAACGTAAACTAGTGTGCTGTCTAGAAATTTTAAGGAAGCCTATATGTGACATAGCAGGATTCTTTGTTTTAATGTGTTGGATGACAACTTGCTATCTTCTCTGGCCTATCTCACTGCAGTTGTATTTTTATATATTTTGTGTGTCTGTGCGAGAACTTGTAGAAGCTAGATCTTGTAAAATGGTCTTAATATGAATTATTCTCATTGTGTTTTACAGTTCTGAACATAAAGCTGAACTTTCTCTTCTGGCAGCTGTATCCCTTGTTATGATCTTTATTCTTGTTCAACGGAGATGTTCTCTGGTTTCGAAAATAGCAATGGCACTCGGACTCTTGGGAGTGTACAGTTACCGGGCAGCCATTGGAAATGTGGAATTTCCATGGCAACGAGACAGCAAAGATATTTCAAAGTAAGTTCATTAGCAGCTATGTAAATGTATTTAACACTGCAAGGGCTAAAAGTACCATTGCAAGAGAATACTGTGTTGATTTAGGACTGTGTATGGGTTGGAGAAAATCAGGCTTTTGTGTTCTTCCTTTGCCTTTTGCTAGCTATCAAATCTATCCAGTGGAGTTGGATGTGAAAGACATATGTTCAAAATTCAAGAATTCTGAGCCCTAAAGTGATCTATTGATTGCCACAACTGAACACAACTCAAAGACCTTCCATTCTAAAATGCATTTCTGGTTGCCCCATGCTTTCATAACTTCAGCATATAATACACCAGGGAGGAAACCGGTTTGCTTCCAGTGTTGCTAAATATAGTCAAAATCCTTGCTGATCTGCTGCAGGTCGAATATAAGCTGAGGCTCCTAATTTTGGTCCAAAAATCTGGGAAAACTTATTGACAGGAGTATAAGCCGAGAGTGGGAAATATAGCAGTTACTGGTGAATTTTAGAAATAAAAATAGATACCAATCAAATTACATTAATTGAGGCATTAGTAGGTTAAATGTTTTTGAATATTTACATAAAACTGTAATTTAAGGTAAGACTGTCCAATTCTGATTAAATCATTATTCTAACCTACTTCAGTGTAAATGCGCTTAATGTAGCCTTCCATAAAGCATCATCGTTTATTTTAACTATACATTTTGTGGAAAATGCTGTGTGTATATGAATAAGGAAAAATGGGAAAGACTGGCATGGGAACAGGTTGGGAAAGAAGGACTGGAAACATGAAAATGTTAGAATGGGAAGGGGTGGTTGAAAAGGTGGGAAAATGAGGTGGAAAAAGGGTGGCTGGAAAAGTAGGATAGATTGGGGTGGGAAGGGGCCAACTGGGGAAGGGGGAATGACTGAGGTGTGAAAGTGGGGCTGGAAACCGGTAAAGGTTGGGATGGAAAGGGGGACTGGAAAAGTGGGAAAGACCCCAATCTAGAGTTTTAAGGGGGGGGGGGGGGTGGATTTCTTTCCCTCCTTTTTCCTTTCTTTCCCATCTTTCCTTTTCCCCTAACTTTTCCACCTCCTTTCGTCCCTTTTCTCGCTTCTTCCCCCCCTCTCTTTTCTTTCCTTCCGTCTCCCATTCCTTTCTTCTTTCTCCTCTTCTACCACCAACACTCCATACATCGTGCTCCGGAATCAATAGGGAAACACTGCTTCTGAGGAGCTACCACCTTTGCAAAGGAGAAAGGCAGTGGCGATGTGCTCCTTTCTCTCCCACTTCGGGGTCCAGGGCCACCGAGAAAGAGAGGAGAGGAAGGAAGGCAAGTGAGAGAGACGGGGAGAAGAAGGCAAGCACAAAAGAGAGGGGAAGCCTCCAAAGAGGGATCCTCCACCACACACAGAGAGTTCCACTGTTGAACAGCTCTCACAGTTAGGAAGTTCTTCCTAATGTTCAGGTGGAATCTGTAGTTTTTTTCCCCACTGCACCTTTGGCGAGTAGGTGCTCAGCATGATTTTTTATACCCCCTCAATGTTTTTGGCTAATGGAGTTCGTGCCCTTCAAACAGGATGCTCTGCCCCACAACTCTGTGTGTTTTATGAGTTCCATTTAAACTTCCTGCTCTCATCATAGTCTGTTAATTGTTTTTATTTGGAATATGTGGCCGGCCCATTGTCATCTCTACTGTGATTGTGTCTATTGGTATTTTATTTTATTTTAATTTTATTATTACTGTTATTATTTTATTATTATTTTAATGTCACTTTGATAATTTTGTTGTTGTCTGATGTATATGCTTTGATTTTATTGCTGTATTATGTTGTCCGGGCTTGGCCCCATGTAAGCTGCACTGAGTCCCCATTGGGGAGATGGTGGCGGGGTAGAAATAAAGATTATTATTATTATTATTATTATTATTATTATTATTATTATTAGTTTGAAGCCATTATTCCACGTCCTAGACTCCAGAGCAGCAGAAAACAAGCCTACTCCCTATGACTTCCCCTCACGTATTTACATATGGCCATCATCATGTCTCCTCTCAGTCTTCTCTGCAGGCTAAATATGCCCAAGTGCTTAAGCTGCTCCACATAGGGCTTGTTCTCCAGACTCTTGATCATTTTAGTTGCCCTTCACTGGACACATTCCAGCTTGTCAATATCTCCCTTCAATTGTGGTGCCCAGAATTGGACACAATATTCCAGGTGTGGTCTCACTAAGGCTAAAGAGAGGGGTAGCAGGACTTCCCTGGATCTAGACACTAGACTCCTAATGATGCAGGCCAAAATCCCATTGGCTTTTTTTTGCAGTCGCATGCCATTGTTTGCTTATGTTTTACTTTTTGTCCATGAGGACTCAAACTTTTTCACACGTACTGCTGTTGAGCCAGGCGTCCCCCATTCTGTATCTTTGCATTTCATTGTTTCTGCCTATCTTACATTTGTCCCTGTTGAACTTCATTTTGTTAGTTTTGGGCCATCTCTCTAATCTGTTACGATTATTTTGAATTCTTCTCCTGTCTTCTGGGATATTAGCAATCTTTCCCAATTTGGTACCTAGGCAATCTAGAAATGGGCTATAAGGCCTAGTGCAGAGCAATCCCGTTGGCCGCTGCTTGTATCCAGCCCAGAGGGAATGAAAAAAGAACTGTGGAAGATGGGAAGATTTCTCCTTTCCCTCACAACAACTTTGCTATAAGTGCAAAAAGTGTGCTGACAGCTAGGGAACCATCTGTAATGTCTGCTTTTTATAGGGGTGTTGTGTGAATGGAGCCATGGGAAATGAGGTCCTGCCTCTTTCCCACTCTTCTCTTTCCCCCATCAAATTTCAGATAGTGATGGAGCAAGGACTCCTTGAGTCTGTGGGCACTAGACATATGACTACTTTGCTCCCATCTCTCAGTTACTAGGTATATGCAAATACAGGCATTCCAAAAATAGAAATAATAGATAAGGTAAAGGTTTTCCCCTGACATTAAGTCCAGTCATGTCCAACTCTGGGGTGTGATGCTCATCTCCATTTCTAAGCCGAAGAGCTGGAGTTGTCCGTAGACACCTCCAGGTCATGTGGCCGGCATGACTGCATGGAGCGCTGTTACCTTCCTGCCGTAGCGGTACCTATTGATCTACTCACATTTGCATGTTTTCGAACTGCTAGGTTGGCTTACTTACTTACTTAGTTACTTAGTTACTTACTTAGGTGAAGCTTCGTAGACAGAGGATGATGGTCCTCCAAGTGTAGTATCCTGGGGGTGGGTCCATAGGTGACTTTGGAGCCCTATTCTTGTTCTGCATCTTCTCCCACAGTGAGGGCATTGGTTTCCAGGTGGAAGGCGGTCCTGGTCAGGGATGGCTTGACACGCCTTCCTCTTGGCACGTTCCTCTCTTTCGCCCTCCATTCATGCCTCTTCAAATTCTGCAGCACTGCTGGTCACAGCTGACTTCCAACTGGAGCGCTCAAGGGCCAGGGCTTCCCAGTTCTCAGTGTCTATGCCAGAGTTTTTAAGGTTGGCTTTGAGCCCATCTTTAAATCTCTTTTCCTGCCCACCATTGAGTTCGGAGTAGAGCAACTGCTTTGGGAGACGGTGGTTGGGCATCTGGACAATATGGCCGGTCCAGCGGAGTTGTTGGCAGAAGACCATTGCTTCAATGCAGGCGTATAGCAGGATTGGGAGGACAATAGCTTTATAAACAAGCACCTTGGTATCCCTATGGATGTCCTGGTCCTCAAACTCTGCAATTGCGGAGCTCAGGCGGTGTTGAATTTCAGTGTCAATGCTGACTTTTGTGGAGAGGTGGCTGCCAAGGTAGCAGAAATGGTCAACGTTTTCTAATGTTACACCATTAAGCTGTATTTCTGGCGTTGGAGAGGGACTGACTGGTTACTGTTGGAAGAGGACTTTGGTTTCCTTGATGTTTAATGACCGGCCAAACTTCTCATATGCTTCTGCAAAGGTGTTTAGAGTTGCTTGTAGGTCTTCTTCTGAATGTGCACAGACGATGTTGTCATCAGCATACTGGAGTTCTATAACAGATGTTGTTGTAACCTTGGTTTTGGCTTTCAGTCTGCTGAGGTTAAATAGCTTGCCATCTGTCCAACAGATGATTTCCACTCCAGTGGGAAGTTTCCCATCAACAATATGAAGTATTGCTAGGTTGGTAGAAATAATACAAAATGAAAAAAACTGGTTGCAAGCCTGAAGACATAATTTTGGATCAGGCCAAAAGTCTACGTCCAATGCTGTCCTGTTTTATCTTCCTGAAAGCCTAGGGGGGTACAAAGACAAAAGTGTTGTTCTTTCACCACAGCACCTGATATTCAAAGCTATCCTGCTTCTCAGCATGGAGATTCTGTTAAGCTATTGTGGTGACACATTTCTCTTCTCTTGTAATCACTACCATTCAGAGGGGAAGCCATGTCTCTGTAATGTGGAGCTCTGTATCCCACAGCAAAGGAAAGCATCTAGTTACCTGGAGGCAATTGTTATTAGTTACAGGCGACTAGCCAAGTGTTAAATTACAATGCTGTGTGTCGTTAGGATTCAATTTGGGAACAGGGGTCCATAAATCTTTCAGTTTTCTTGTTAACCACTAACTGCTCTATGACAAATTATTTGGGGATTTCTAAATTTGAAGCATAATCTGCTGAACTTCCAAAGCTGTGATTCAGAGCTTGTCTTTCTCCCTTACAGCTGCTGGTTTAATACCACTATTATAATGCAAAGAGCAGTTAAAGGATATATGCAATTTGTGGGTTTTGAAGTGCAGCATGATAATAGTATTTCCAAAAGTCCATTGCAGCGCTCATTTTGACAGCAAGAGACTGAAACTCTTTGTGGCTAAAAGAGAAAAAAAGATATGAAAAATGACATCAGGTGAATTCTTGGGAGAAGGGCTAGACTGGATATTTTAGTAGTTCGATTTATGGTGCAAGTAGGATTAATTTTTGTGCTCAGACCGTGTTTTTTGAGTACCGTATTCCCAATGATGTGATCAAATTCCAAGAGCAAACTTACATATGGAGTAAATCATTTTGTATTGAAGGAACATATAGAATTCTTACAGATTTATCTACTTCTCTTCCCTTCCTTCACGCGGCTTTACTTTTTTGTGGTTCACCCAGCAGATGCAGGAAGGATTGGTAGGAGTTGGACCAGTCCAAGAATGCTGTTGAATTTGCAGTGTATTTTGTATTCTACTGAAATAACAGAAAGTGGGACATATATTCCTGTTCATACCCTACAATGATAAATCAATAACCTGCAACATGTTGACTGATAAGTTGATAGAGCAGCAAATAAATAAGAAAGGGAAGAGTTATTCTTGTTTCACTACTGAAAGAGATTCTTTGAGCATAGAATTGGTTCACTTGCTTCTGGGAAGACTCTAGGAGACCAGCCATTCTGTCAGCAGCATACCAATTACTATTACCTCCTCCAACAGCTTAAATCAATCAGAAGTAATGTCAGTCAGTCTAAATCGGATGGGCACCAGTTGATCCTTCAAATATTGATGGGCCATGACTCCTAGCAGCTATAGTGAATGTTGAGAAGTGATGGGCCTTGCAGACCCAAATCACCTGGATAACCACAATTTTCCCTCCCCAGTGTAAATCCCGAGTATGGTCCTCTTCTTAACTTTTTGAATATTCACTAAAATGGTTAGTTTGTGATCAGGCAGTGGTTTTCAAGTCTCAAAACCCCCATGTTGAAGTTTCTCCTCCAGCTTGAATGTGTGTCCTTCCCAAGTGAAGCTGAAATCCATCCTCCATCTCTGCTGATCATGAATTGTGTTGGCTACAGCTGATGAGAGTTGCAATTCGTCAACATTTGGGGAGGCTGCAGGTTTCCCATCCCTGCTTGAAAAATTAAATTGTTTGAAACTGGCCAAGGCTTGGATTGTTTCATAATGAAAGGCCATTTAAAAGGTTTGAGTCTCCAGAAGCTTCTTGGAGCCATTCTTCTAGTGCTCCCAGATCCTTCTTTAGCATTTCTATAATGAATTTAGCATTTCATTATAATATCTTTAGGAGATCAGATCTGGATTTCTATCAGAAAGGAACCAAATCTTGGGCAAACAAGCATAGCTTGTGGACTCAGCGCTGACGCTTGATGCGCAGGTGTCGGCGGTGGCGCAATTAAAACAACTGCGACCTTACCTCGTGAAGTCTGACTTGACCATGGTGGTCCATGCCTTAGTTACCTCTAGACTGGATTACTGTAATGTTCTCTACGTGGGGCTACCCTTGAATACGGCCCAGAAACTACAACTTGTCCAACGTTCGGCAGCCAGATTAATAACTGGGGCGACCTACAGTGAGCGGTCAACCCCCGTTTAAGGAGCTCCACTGGCTGCCATTTATTTTCCGGTCCCAATTCAAGGTGCAGGTTATCACCTATAAAGCCCTAAACGGTTTGGGACCTGCCTACCTCTCTCCATGAACCATCTCCGTTCTTCTACCTCGGGCCCTCTCTTGCCCCTGCTAGTTTCACAAGCTCACCTGGTTAGTACAAGGGAGAGAGCCTTTTCCACTGTGGCTCCTTGACTCTGGAACTCACTGCCTGGAGAAATTAGGAAAGCCCCTTCTCTAGAAATTTTTAAAAAGAACCTCAAAACCTGCCTCTTCTGCTGCGTCTTTGATGAACAGGTATACAATTTCACATTATTGCTCAGCCTCAAGTTCTGTCATTGGGGTATTTGTGTCCCCCCCCCTCGTGAAAAAGCCTGCTTCCACAACCCCCCCCTATAATTGAGCTCTCCTCCGCAAATTACCTGCTTCTCTTCTTTATGTCGCCCGAGTTTTTAATTAGTTTTAATTAATGTAGCCCGCCCATAATGTAGCCCGCCCATTATTATTGTGTCTGTGCTTATTGTAATTTTTACATTGTTATGTATGCATATGTTTTATGTTAATATGATGCTATTGTTTATTGTTTGTGTTTTCGGTTTGTGTTTTGGTTTTTTCTTTATTGTAATTGTTGTTTGGGCTTGGCTTCATGTAAGCCGCTGAGTTCCCATTGGGGAGATGGTGGCAGGGTATAAATAAAGATGATGATGATGATGATGATGACTATATTGGAAGTCTTAGTTCAATATTAGCATCTACAGACAAAGGATTTCAGATTCCATGTCTTGTAGCATATTTATGTATTCATGCAACAACTTACCATTACTGTCAAATTGGTATTTGAAGACAGGTATCCCAGACTGGAGAGCATATCATTAGCTCTTAAAGAGAATGCTCATGGCCTGAAAGAAGTCAGTTGTTTTAAGATTTTGTCTGCTCGTGCTATTTGTTCAAGCATATTACATTTTAAATTGAATGTCCTGCAGAAAGTCAAACGCTGAATTCACATGTCACAATGAGCATTGGTCTGGTTTGCTAAAATCTGGTTTGTTGTGATGTGCAGGGATACCACTGTTAATATGGTATGGTTTGTGAACCAGCCACAAATCAAAATTTGAATATTACGCATTGTTACCACTTGGCATTGTTACCACTTGAAGTATACCGTATACCCTTGATTTACTAAATGGTGTGAAGGAGCAAAATATATTTTATTGTAGCATGAAAGTTGGAGTTATTTACCTTTTAACAAATCTTGAAAAACTGTAGGGTGCTGATGAAGAGGAGCACAAAGTATTAGCTTAGGAAAGGATATTTCTTCCTACTGCACACACTTTGTTAGAGTAGTAGAGTTCGAATCTTGCATTTGGAGAGGTGGGATTTTGTCCAATGAAAACTTAAGTTAACTTTAATGGTGCAATACTCTATTTTGCTGTTAAAGTTTAACAAGTCTTTTCATACTTTTTTAAAAGGAAGATTCCAGGTTAGTAGGAATTCAATCACTGACAACCTTTCTAGTTGTCTCTTCAAACTCTATTGTGTGTACATAGATTTGAGATAACTACACTGTGGCTCTTCAGATTTTGTTGACCCAACAACTCATGTCATGCTTCACCATTAGCTGTGCTGACTAGGTCTGCTGGGATAATATTTGGAGGGCCTTTGTTCAGAAGATTTTACTTTGCTTTCTGTCCTTGTGATAATTGGATTTTGAAATAATTGGTTTGGTGTGGAAACAAGGATTGGTGATAAAGCTTCAGTGGAGATCTTTTTCCCGTGATAATAACTCTTCCAGGAGTAGCTTTTCCTTTCTAGGGATAGATTTCCTTTCACTTCCTGTTGCATCAACTCTGTTCTTAAGTATGAGTCAGATGTAGGTCAGATATTTGTTACTTGGGGACTGCCTGTATTTGACACATAGTCTGCTCTTTCATCATATATTGAAATAAATATAAAATACGAAATACAACTGAATTAAAACAAAACGTGACATAGGATTTCATCTTTCAGTGATTTCCAGTTTTCCACAGTGCTCTTGTCTCTAGCCCATTGAATAAGTAGGAGATGACTATCCATATAAATAAAAATGTAATGTTCGTTTGTGGGATTAACACAACTCAAAAACTACTGGATGAATTGCCGCCAGATTTGGCCACAAGACAGCTACTAACCCAAGGAGTGGCCATCACTCAAAAAAATTTGTCATTTGGCACTTGTAGTTGCTGGGATTTATAGTTAACCTACAATCAAAGAGCATTCTGAACTCCACCAATGATGGAATTGAACCAATCTTGGCATACAGAACTCCAGTGACAAACAAAGAATACAGGAAGGGTTTGGTGGGCATTGACCATGAGTTTGGGAGTTGTAGTTCACTTACATCCAGAGAGCTCTGTGGACTCAAACAATGATGGATTTGGACCAAACTTGACACGAATACCCCATATGCCCAAATATGAACACAGATGGAGTTTGGGGGAAATAGACCTTGACATTTGGGAGTTGTAGTTACTGGGATTTATAGTTCACCTACAATCAAAGAGCATTCTGAACCCCACGAACAAGAGAATTGGGGCAAACTTCCTACACAGAACCCCCATGACCAACAGAAAATACTTAAGGCCATTGAGTCCAACTCCCTTCACCAGGGCAAGAAAACGTAATCAAATCCCTCCTGACAAAGAGCCACCCAGCCATAGATATAGATAGATATATATGATTCACACAGAGAGAGATATAGTATCATAGATTTGAAAGGGGCCCCTAAAGAAGGGCAATTATATGTTGCATGTTCCAGAGTAGGCAAACCAGACAATCTCCACATCAACACTGACAAAGAAACAAGAAATACTTTTAACCCACAAGTATGAAGACTTTACAAACCAACACTTTCTCATTACTTTATTTTCCAGCTCATGAGACTGGGCCACGGCAACACGTGGCAGGGGATAGCTAGTATATTTATAATCATGCTATTATTGGTATGGTCTTAAATACCCCTGGAACCAACTTTAGAAACCTTAGCAGCTCTACCAAGAGCAAGAGTTTTGTGTTGATGGTGAGTTGTGCAGGGACCCTGCAGGGAACCCTTTTTCTGGTTGATACTCCAGAACTTACTGGTCCTCCAAGAATTTTTCTGTGCATGTTACAATTTATTTCAATCATTGTGTAATACTTTCTGATAGGAAGACGGCAGTCTTGAAAGACAACTAAGAAATTCTCAGACAAAATAGAAGTAAAAAATATTCCACCATCAATCATGACATTACAAGCCTAGTGCCTCACCTTCCTTTGTAGGAATACCCTGGGTAAACTTCCCCCAGCCCATGATAGATATGTATTTCAAAAAGCTAGGGCTTGGATTAGCCATGATCCTGAATTCATTCCATCCTTTTTCTTCTTTCTTTTTAGAGGCATAATTGAAGCACGGTTCGTTTACATCTTCGTTCTTGGCATCATCTTCACAGGCACCAAAGACTTGCTCAAATCTCAGGTTCTTTCTGCGGACACAAAAACCAAGTTTACTGGTTTGTGGGAAATATACAGTGGGCTGGTGTTGCTCGCAGCACTCCTGCTGAGGCCGCACAACTTGCCAGTTTTAGTCTTTTGTCTGCTCTTCCAAGCCATGATGATGAAGTATGTTTGGAAGCCATTGGAGTTTGATGCTGCTCAAGTTACTATAATGCACTATTGGTTTGGTCAAGCTTTCTTCTTTTTTCAGGTAAACATCATGTCTTTCCAAGGAAAATTATTTCTTTAAGTGTTGTTGTCTTTTGGGATAAGACAAGTGACAAGTAAAGAAAGCCTTTAGAAGGGAGCTGGGATATACATAGGCAGGTCCTATAAATTAATTGCCATTCTTTCTACACCTCTGTTACCTTAATACCATTCACCCCACATTGCTGATATATAAATCGGTTTTTAGCCAGCGTGCCTCATAGAATTAATTCCTCGATCTGGAGAATGCTTTAAGATTCAATATGAATTGAATTGGGGAAAGCGTCCAAGTTCTTATACATCAAAAGATCTCCTTGAAAATAATTGAAAATGGTGTATTTTCTAGTTTTCCCCATGACATTGCAAAGGAAGAGCAGGGAAATGTTTGTTAAATCTGGGAATAATCAAGTCCTCAAAAGTTAAACCTGCAAATATGGAAGGCTGACATAATTTATTTGAGATTTTAGAATCTCAAATAAATTGTGAGATTCTAAAATATAAGGTAAATAATGTTGGTTTCCCTTATATTTTAGAATATTACAATTTATTTTTGAGGTCATAGATTTTCAGACAATTCTGTGATTTCTCTTTAGATTCTATAGAGCTTTTGCCTTTTACCAGAGATAATATATTTCAGGCATGGAATAAAGGAAGAGACATATCTATAGGCACATGGCCCCAATTTTGATTTTGACAGATATAATGCTGCACCTTGAACTGGCATGTAAACAAAATGTTTGTCAATCTATGTCTTATATTTCAGGTTTTAAAGTGTTTGTTAGACAATGGGTTGCCTCATTTTGCACCATCTGTAGTTGACCAGCCTTCTTCAAGGAGAGGTCCATGTTGAGTGTATTGCAGTAATCACTGTGGCATAATGGATTGAATGTAGGACTAGAACTTCAGAAGACCAGGGTTCAAATCCCTCTCAACCATGGGAACCCACTAGATGATCTTTGACAAGTTATATCCTCCCAGCTTAAGAAGGAGAAAATGGCCAATGTACCCTGAATAATATTTGCTCAGAAAATCCCATGATAGAGTCAATAACCTTGAGAATTTAATTGAAACTCATAAGAAGGCCCATTAGTTGAAAAGTGATTAAAGCGTCTACACCAGAATCATAGAATCATAGTTGGAAGAGATCTTATGGGCCATCCAGTCCAATCCCCTGCCAAGAAGTAGGAAAATCACATTCAAAGCATCCTCAACAGATGGTCACCCAACCTCTGCTTAAAAGCCTCCAAAGAAGGATCCTCCACCACACTCCAGGGCAGAGAGTTCCACTGCTGAATGGCTCTCGCAGTCAGTAAGTTTTTCCTCAGGTTCAGGTGGCATCTCCTTTCCTGTAGTTTGAAGCCATTTCTCCATTGCATCGTAATATCCAGGGCAGCAGAGAACTAGCTTGCTTCCTCCACCCTATGACTTCCCCTCACATATTTATATGTGGCCATCATGTCTCCTCTCAGCCTTCTCTTCTGCAGGCTAAACATGCCCAGCTCTTTAAGATGCTTCTCATAGGGCTTGTTCTCCAGACCCTTGATCATTTTAGTCACCCTCCTCTGGACACATTCCAGCTTGTCAGCATCTCCCTTAAATTGCAGTGCCCAGAATTAGACACAGTGTGATTCCAGGTGTGGTCTGACCAAGGCAGAATAGAGGGGTAGCATGACTTCCCTGGATCTAGACACCAGGCTCCTATTTATAGTATTGCTATGCTTCACATTTGATTTTCAAAAGTGCTGCCCATTCAGAGAAGAATATTCTCATTTTTTTGTGTTGAAGGAAACAGATGTAGCTTCTTCTTAGGTGCTTTTCAGAATCTCAAATCATTTACCAGGAATCTTCAGGACTCACATTAGTGGATTGCATTTACTAGGGACTCTTCCTCACAGGCATATAACCTAGAATATCAAGGTGGAAAATCCCACAATATCTGCTTTGAACTGTGTTATCTGAGTCCAGACTGCCATATATCTCAGTTCAAAGCAGAAAATGTAGGATTTTATTCAGCTGTCTGGAAGGGGCCTAAGTTACATGAATTCAGAGAGGGAAACCCTGGGCTGAGTTATTTTCGAAGATTAATTGTAGTGCTGGCAAAATGCATCCAATATGCAAAGAGATAAATGGTTAAATTATTTCTGAGGTCAAAATGTACCTTTTGTATTATAAAAATATTTACTCTGAGATACCATTCTTTTGAAGAAATGAAAATCCCAACATACAGAAAATCCCTCTCACCCATTAACCCCTCAAGGCATTCAGAACAGCTTCCAAGGAAACACATCTTGAGAAGTATTTCTGATATCTGCTCCGGGATTAGCAGTTATGATGGTTTTTAGATTCACTCTGAGTGCTTTGAGATATGCCCTGGTTGCTACGAACAGACTGTTGCAAATAAATCCTTTTGGTATTCCTTCATTATTGACATAAGTGCATGCAGTAGCCCACCCCACAGAAGTAATTAAGCTTTCTTCTCTTGTGTTTGCATTAAAAGGAACTCAAGGGATTAACAGGCAATCTGTTTTAGAAGATCATTCATGTGATCAGCCCTGTAACAGAAACCTGAAACTTTTAAAAGCCTTGGGAATGCTATTTTTGGAATACTATTAAATAAAACTAGTTGCATTTTCTCTTAGAATTTAAGAACTGAGCAGTGTTGACATGAACGTGTGCTGTGTCTTCCTTGCAAAGTATGGAAACCTCTCTTTCTGTGTTAGAATATAGAGAGATTTTGGTTTTAACGTATGGTTAATGTTATGGCAGTCTGTAAAAGACTCAGAATTATTTGTCAGAGCTTTGCATCAGTCCCATGGTCACTGTTTTATACTGGGGAAATCACATTTGATAGTGAGATAAGCTCATTTTAGGTTGCAGATTTGCCAGAGTAAAATTGGATGAAGAAATGCAGATTATCCAATTGTTTAGCTTATTGTTAATGTTTTTCTTTGCTTTCATGGGAAGCACCATCTGGATTTTCTGACATTTAGTAAAGTATTCCATGTTTTGTGGTCTGTGAATGTAGTAACATCAGAAGCGCTGTCTTGCCAGGCTGGCCGTAATGTCCTTCCAGCCCAATATTGTATGTCTTATCAGGAATGGCAGGAGTAGGCAAACCGAAGCCTACATGCCACCTATATCCCTCAAGATCCCTATGTACAGCCCCCAAAGCCCTCAGACCCCCCTCCCCAATTTATGATTTTTCATGCCAATTTGGGGTGATTATCCCTCCTCCCAACCCCCCCCCCTGCTTAAAATGTGAGTTTTAGCACCATTTGTCAATTAATCAAAACATCCCAGGAGTCATTCCTATTTTCCTGTTTGTACTAATTATTTCATGTAAAGGACCTTGCAGCTTCTGGTTGTAGCCTTCACTCCCTTATGAAGTTGGTCATAAATCTACCAGCGAAATAACTAAGTTAATGAGAGAATGTGGCATATCCCAGCAATTTGCTAAATGTGAGAGAAATAAGGTTGAACACTATGAAAGCTACCCACTGCATGGCTATCGGTCTTCTCCCAGTAGACTCAAATCAAGGAAAAGCTTCATGAGAACCACCACTCCTCTTAATGTGCCCCTAGCAACAGCAAGCGTATCCCTCTGGGCAGCTAAACCAGGAAATCCCAATTGGATGGCCCCCCACGAGGGTCTTCCTCTAGGGCAAACCAAGAATGGGCAACTTGGAAGTCCTTGAACAGACTCAGAAGTGGAGTAGACAGATCAAAAGACAACCTGGCAAAATGAAGAATCCTTCACCTTGTGCGACTGTGGAGCATAACAAATAACTCTACATCTGTATGCTTGCCCACAATGCCCTGCCCCATGCACAGAGGAAGAATTGTTTAAAGCTACAGACAGTTATGCTATCTCTATTTTATCAGTTTTATACTTGTTTTATTTATGCAATGCTCTTGACACGAAATGAAATAAATAAATCCCATCAGTCTGGATACACAAGAAAATACAATCATGGCTGGAAGCACAATCACTCGGTATCCATCACCCATCATCTAATATCCGTTTAGACATAGCAAACACAAGAATCTTTTAAAAATAAAGTAAAATAAAGCATTGCAGGACTCATGTCCCTGACAAAACCCTTTGTTATGCTTTGTATGGAGTATGCATCTATATACACATAACAGACATTTGCTGTCATGCTCCACTATGCATAAACTGTACCCACTGGAGTGGTTTATGAACCAACTCTTAAAGGAACATGACAAGCACTTCATATTGCTTTTTCAGTCTACCTCTTGTTGTAGAATCCAGACCTCATTAAACTTTACTGTTCTGTTCATTTGATTTCTGATGCGTATTCAAAAATTTATCACGTACAAAAGAAATCATTTGTCTGGCCAGGAAGACCTGCTGTTCAAGCAGATAGATCTTGTAAGACAGCTGCTTCTATACAATTCTTTCCTCTTGGTGTTTTGTCTTCTCTTGAGGCAAACTTTGCATGTAGCTTTTTTGCAGGGTAGCAACTTGTGTGAAAGTGACATGCTTCTGGAAATGGAATTCATGGGGTATCGCTTCAATATTTAAAATGTTCATTTACCTCAAGGTATTCCATGTTCTGAAACAGAAAATCAAACAAAGAACACAAAGCTTCAAGTAGCTTAAATATTTATATAGTAAAAACTGAAAAACAAAATAAACAGTATTTTTTATATTTAGTACCATGCTCGGAATGTGTGGCCACCTCCCACTGACTGCTTTTTTTTTAACCCCATAGTTGCCAACAGCAATAGGGACTTTGGTTGAGTCACTTGCTTTTATATTATTTTTCATTTGTGAACTACGGCAAAGAAGATGTAAGGGTATAACAAAATAATTTTTGAAGGTACACATTTAGGAGAAATTGGACCCAGCTCTTGCCCTCATACTGCTATTTAACCTGCAGGGGAAAGCATGCATGGCTTTTCTCTGATGTATAAGAGATAGCGACTGGAATTAGATTGAGATGCCTGTGAGAAAGAGTTATATCTTATCTCTTGCAATGCTGTGTGGCTAGTCAGTCGTCCTCTCCTCTGCCCTTTGCAGTTATATTTTCCCTTCTAAAAATTACGGCCAGATCTCTTAATGTCATATGCCATCATGCTAAAGATCAGAGAGTTAAACAGTCTTTTGCACATTAATGAGAAATGATTTAGGATTGGGGTCTCATTACACTAACTGCCTATGACAGCTTGTAATTAATGATGGAGACCTTTGCCATGCATGCTAGTGTCACCTAAGCATAAAGATGGCATATCACTTACTCAGTATTTCCTTTCCAGGGTAATTCAAACAGCATTGCCTCTGTAGATGTTTCGGCTGGTTTTGTTGGGCTCGAGAACTATGTAGAAATCCCAGCAATCTTCCTGACGGGATTTGCAACATACTCAGGACCTTTGCTGTGGGCCATTCATTTGCTGTGCTATTTGAGTTCTGAAGTTCACAGGTAAGACTTTCTAAACTGATTTTGCCTTATGAATAGTCCTGAATGTTTAACTTTGTATTCCCTAAACGTTATAGTCCATGTTCTGTTGAACTAGCAAGATCAGGAACAAAATAGACCTGATAGAGAATTCAAAATACTTCATCAAAATACAAATTCCAAAATTTAAAAAGACAGGCAGTGGTATTAAAGGACATCATAGCGCTTTTCCCAATATGCCAATTTTAAGGTTAGATTGGTTTTTTTTTTAATGGAATCCACCGTAAGGGGTTAATTCAGGTATTTTGCACTGAAAAGTCATCCCAAGCCAATACTTTCTCTCCTCTAAAGTGGAGTTTCCTCTGACACATCATTCCCTACTTTAACACAACAGGTTAACCACCACTCCCTGCTTTAGCACAGCAGGTTAACCGCCAGCTGTAGTAAATCTCATCAATTGAAAGGTTGGCAGTTCGAAGCCCAGGTCAGGGTGAGCTCCTGGCCTTTTGCCCAGCTTCTGCCTACTTAACAGTTTGAAAACAAATGCGAGTAGATAAATAGAAACTGTCTTAAATCTGGGAGGTATTTAAGGCACCCATAAGTAATGCCAGAAAAATGCCTGTGATTCGATCAAGGTGGAAATTTACGAACAAAGGTCTTCGGCAGGGAATATGGAGCCACAGCAAACCCTCTCCCTTCCCGTGGCCAGAACCAAGCACAAGTCTCCAAGATGCCGAAGATGGGAAAGCACACACATATATTTATTTAAAACATTTATATTCCTCCCTTCTCACCCCAAAGTGGACTCATGGCAGAGCACAACATATATACAACAAACATTCAATGTTGGAACATAAAATAAACTATAAATATACATAAACACTAAAATAAATTATATCCACTTTAAAAACAATTGTACCTCTATCTGTGTAAAATTGTCTGTCTTGTCAATATATCACGGCATTGAATGTTTGCCGTGTATGTGTTCTGTGATCCACCCTGAGTTCCCTTTGGGTGAGAAGAGCAGAATATATATACAATAAATAAATAAATAAATTGCGTTCAGCATATCTCAGGAGAACCTCTGCTAGGAAAGGGATTTTTGTCTATACTCAGACAAAGTAACTTTCCCAAGTTTTGTGCAGAGAGGATACTTGTGTTACTGAAGTCGGCAGAACAAGTCCAACTTAGCTGCTTCTGGAAGATTTTTTTTTTCCTTTTGCAAAAGATGTGAAACTTATTTACGTGGTCATTTATGCATACCTCTGTGATCTTTTTCTAAACATAAATCTATTTTATACTTGTTTCAAGCAGCTTGCAGGGAGAAGGGAACTTGTTGACTATAACCGTTGTATTTCAGAGATTTATGTTAAGAAATGTTCATTTTTTCAATGCTGTTTTATTTTACATATTATTCAAAATGACTTGATAGACAGTGATGCATTAACCAGAGCCTGGGAAAAATACTTTATTTTTGGACTATAGTTCCTAAAGTCTCTAAGCCTTCTTGGTGAGCAGCCATGGTGACTACAGGAATCCAGTAGTTGTAATTCAAGTGAAGGTTTCCCAAACTCTGGTATTAACTATGCTCCAGGCTCCTCTTGGAGGTATTTGAAAGCTTGTCCAATGTTTCTTATTTTGAGAAGAGCAACAATAAAAGGTAGCTTGCTGCCTCCAGAGCTCTCAGAGGAGTTTGGGCTGTGTACCAAGGTACCGTTGCATTTCATGAAATGTGACAGAGTACCCTAGACTTCTTCAGTCAGTTTTCTCTAACGGTGTAAGCCACTGCCTTAACCTCTGGCTCCTACCTCTACCTCAGTTCCTGTCTGCCAATTTCCGACTTGTCAGTTATTTTGGGACTTCAGTTCAAGGTGATAGTTCCAGCCTTTCTTGACCTAAGGAGTTTGGTTCCATTATGTTTACCTTTCCCTTTATGTATGCCTTTCTCCTGTATATTAAGGTTATAAAAGAGTTCCTCTTGAGCAGGGGTCCTCAAGCTTTTTAAACAGATGGCCTGGTCACAGTTCCTCAAATTGTTGGAGGGCCGGATTATAATTTGGAAAAAATGAATGAATTCCTATGCACACTGCACATATCTTATTTGTAGTGCAAAAAACACTTCAAAACAATACAATTATTAAAATGAAGAACAATTTTAACAAATATAAACTTATTAGTATTTCAATGGGAAGTGTGGGCCTACCTTTGGCTGATGAGATAAGATTGTTGTTGTTGTGTGCTTTCAAGTTGTTTTAGACTTAGGTTGACCCTGAGCGAGGGCCGGGTAAATGACCTTGGAAGGCCATATCCGGCCCCCGGGCCTTAGTTTGAGGACCCCTGCTCTAGAGTGGTCATCCGCTGGACAGGCATGTAGAAACCGCTTCCTTTTGAGTTTCATGGCCATTTCTGCCTAACTGCTTTTAGGAAAGGTGTAAAGACAACTTCAGTTTTAATGGTTGTATTGTTTAATTCGATGTAGACATGTTGTTAGCTGCCTTGAGCACAGTTTTTACCAGAAAGGCAGGATAAATGTAATAACATAAAATTAACAAGATGGATGGATGGGGGAAGGAGTTGCCTTAAGGTTTTCTGAGAAACTTTAAGGAGCTTTTCCTAACAAGCCATTCTGCCCATCCCTTTGAAAAGTTTGTTTATTTATTAGGGTACATACCCAGCGTTGTCCAGGTGTCGGAAGAACCACTGCCTCCTGCTTTCATCCCCTCTGCCTCTTCCTCCCTCCCTCCCCCTTCCTTCTGCTTTTGTTTCTTACCCTTCTTCTCTTTCTTTTCTCCCTCCCTTCCCCTTATACACATGTCATTTTCTTTCTCTGGGCCACTTCACCTAGCAACAGCCAGTCCTTCAGCTAGCAACAGCCAATTCAGTGACATCACAGAGAACCACTTCACTCATCACTCTGAGGTACAAACAGACAAACATACATAGATACTTTGACTTCTATATAGATAGATAAAACACCAAGATGGTACATGGCACTTTATAAATAAAAGACCAAATAAAAACAAAGGCAGCCCCACGTAGAGAGTGTTGCAGTAGTCTATTCGGGATGTAACCAGAGCGTGGACCACCATGCCTTAAAATGATCAGGATTCAAGATAGTTGGCAGCCAGCACTCTCTTCACTGTCCAAAGATGAAAGTGACAGTTAAAACCATTGGTCTCAGCAGCAAGCCAGAGACAGCAGCCAATCAGAACTCTGCCCTCTGGCATGCTCAGACAATCAGCTGCCAACACCTGTCTTTCCAGTTAACCCATTACATTATGGCATCCCTTTTCAAATCCTTACAAAGTGGGCTTCCATGGCTGAGAGCGATATTCAAACCCTGGGTCCCTACTCCCCTAACCCAGTACTCAATCCACTACACCACACTGACTTTACTAGCATGGGCCCAATTAGAGTAGCCCTCTGAATCATTTAGAGAAATGGTAAGTCACTGCTTACAACATATGAATTCCCTGGAACTGTTCCAGTTATGTCTAGAAATTGCCTTTAACACTCTTTGTTTAAAAATATACTTTCTATTTCAAGTTTACAACTCAGAATGATCACCCGAGGATACAGCAAAATATTAATTACATTACACCAGAATGGCAAATACGCTGCCTGGGCTGCCTGACTAAACTCACCAACTGTTCAGCTGCAAATATTATTCAGATTTCTAAAAAAGATTCTCCATTTAATCATGCAAGTGTTCCATCTGCCTTTGAAATATCACAGGAAAAATTATTCCCTTTTTAAAAAGTCCCCTGTTGTGTTGAAGGCCCTTCTCTCCATCGGCATAAACCAGCTTGTTCAAGTCTTTCAAGGACTGCAGAATTAAGACTGAATCTGGAATGTTTGTCATTCTCAAATTTTGAAGCACCTAATTGCTAATTAACGAGAGACATTGGGCTCTGTGTGTGTGTTTGTGTATTTGAATGTGTATTTGTACGTGAATACAGACAGAGAAATACAAAAATTAAACGGTGGCAATCAAACAGTGGAAAATAAGCAGGGTTCTGTATTAAGTTACATGGAAATAGATTTGTAACCAGAGAAAGATTTAACAGGTCGAGTTAGGCATTTGGGTTCCTTCCCTCCTCTGTAACGCAGCTGGAATTTCGATTAAATGCTGAAAGGAAAGTGACAGTTTTATTTCTACCACCTCAAGTGCTCTTAAAGCTGTCACTTTGGCTCCCCAGAGTGCGTTTGAAATCTGACTGTGTTAATGAGGAAGGCAGAAGCCAAGCATTTAATTAAACAGTGTTAAGTCAGTGTCTGGTCACTTGCTCATTTCCATACCTGTATTAGTAGGTATTAATGGGTGCCGTTTTTGTATCGAGGGTCTGTTTTCTGCCAAAAAGTCATTTTTTTTAATAAACACAGACTCCAGAATCATGTCTCTGTTTAACAGTCTGTTTTTGCATCTTCACCTTCAGTATTAAAGATGGGTGATAAAGCGTGCACAAGGAGCCTTCAAGACCTTTTAGTACCAACAACATGCTATTCGTCTTACTGTGTATTGTTATTTGTCCTAGTGCAAGGAACAGAGTGACAAGTGGCCTTACTAAACATTTGGCTAATGTTTATAAACTACCTCTTTATTTAAAATTAGCTTGGTTAACCAGCGTTACCTGGGTTATTTGAAAAAGTTTTTTTTTACTTGTACAAAATGCATAAGGTTGTGGATTAACTACAACTGACATCATGCCAGGTTAACCCCAATAAACTCCTTAAAGTTTGTTATGTTGGGCAGGTTTGCTCTGGATGCATCATTCGTGGGGTTCAGTGTGCTCTCTGGCTTTAGGGTAAACTACAACTCCCACTATGGTGAGTCTGTCCCTCCAGAAGGTTGAGTTAGCCATGGGGGTTCTGTGTGCCATGTTTGATCTATCCTCGGTGGAGGTCACAGTTTCTCTGGTTGTGGGTGAACTACAACTCCTAGAAAGGAAGGCCAGTTCCCCCCAAACCCCTTCAGTAATCAAATTTTGTCGTATCAGGTATGTGTGCCAAGTTTGGTCCAGATA